AAACAAAATTGATAAGCCATTAGCCAGACTCATCGAGAAAAAGAGGGAGAGGACTCAAATCAATAAAATTAGAAATGAAAAAGAAGTTACAACAGACATCGCAGAAATACAAAGCATCCTAAGAGACAACTGCAAACAACTCTATGCCAATAAAATGGACAACCTGGAAGAAATGGACAAATTTTTAGAAAAGCACAGCCTTCTGAGACTGAACCAGGAAGAAATAGAAAATATAAGCCGACCAATCACAAGCATGGAAATTGAAGCTAATTAAAAATCTTCCAACAAACAAAAGCCCAGGACCAGATGGCTTCACAGATGAATTCTATCATTTAGAGAAGAGCTAACCCCTATCCTTCTCAAACTCTTCCAAAATATAGCAGAGGGAGGAATGCTCCCAAACTCAGTCTATGAAACCACCATCACCCTGATACCAAAACCAGACAGAGATGTCACAAAAAAAATTACAGACCAATATCACTGGTGAACATAGATGCAAAAATCCTCAACAAAATACTAGCAAACAGAATCCAACAGCACATTAAAGGATCATACACCATGATCAAGTGGGGTTTATCCCAGGATTGCAAGGATTCTTCAATATATGCAAATCAATCAATGTGATACACCATATTAACAAATGATAAAAATCATATGATCATCTCAATAGATGCAGAAAAAGCTTTTGACAAAATTCAACACCCATTTATGATAAAAACTCTCCAGAAAGTGGGCATAGAAAGAATCTACCTCAATATAATAAAGGCCATATATGACAAACCCACAGGCAACATTGTTCTCAATGGTGAAAAACTGAAACCATTTCCTCTAAGATCAGGAACAAGACAAGGTTTCCCACTCTCACCGCTATTATTCAACATAGTTTTGGAAGTTTTAGCCACAGCAATCAGAGAAGAAAAGGAAATAAAAGGAATCCAAATCAGAAAAGAAGAAGTAAAGCTGTCACTGTTTGCAGATGACATGACACTATACATAGAGAATCCTAAAGATGTTACCAGAAAACTACTAGAGCTAATCAATGAATTTGGTAAAGTGGCAGGATACAAAATTAATGCATAGAAATCTCTTGCATTCCTATACACTAACGACAAAAAATCTGAAAGAAAAATTAAGGAAACAATCCCATTTACAATTGCAACAAAAAGAATAACATACCTAGGAATAAACCTACCTAAGGAGACAAAAGACCTTTATGCAGAAAACTATAAGACACTGATGAAAGAAATTAAAGATGATACAAACAGATGGAGAGATATACCATGTTCTTGGATTGGAAGAATCAACATTGTGAAAATGACTATACTACCCAAAGCAATCTACAGATTCAATGCAATCCCTATCAAACTACCACAGGCATTTTTCACAGAACTAGAACAAAAAATTTTACAATTTGTATAGAAACACAAAAGACCTTGAACACCCAAAGCAATCTTGAGAAAGAAAAATGGAGGTGGAAGAATCAGGCTCCCTGACTTCAGACTATATTACAAAGCTACAGTCATCAAGACAGTATGGTACTGGCACAAAAACAGAAAGATAGATCAATGGAACAGGATAGAAAGCCCAGAGATAAACCCACACACATATGGTCACCTTATCTTTGATAAAGGAGGCAAGAATATACAGTGGAGAAAAGACAGCCTCTTCGATAAGTGGTGCTGGGAAAACTGGACAGGTACATGTAAAAGTATGAGATTAGATCACTCCCTAACACCATACACAAAAATAAATTCAAAATGGATTAAAGATCTAAATGTAAGGCCAGACACTATCAAACTCTTAGAGGAAAACATAGGCAGAACACTCTATGACATAAATCACAGCAAGATCCTTTTTGCACCTCCTAGAGAAATGGAAATAAAAACAAAAATAAACAAATGGGACCTAAATGAAACTTAAAAGCTTTTGCACAGCAAAGGAAGCCATAAACAAGATTAAAAGACAACCCTCAGAATGGGAGAAAATATTTGCAAATGAAGCAACTGACAAAGGCTTAATCTCCAAAATAAACAAGTAGCTCATGCAGCTCAATATAAAAAAAAAAAAAAAACGAATCCAAAAATGGGCAGAAGACCTAAATAGACATTTCTTCAAAGAAGATATACAGATTGCCAACAAACACATGAAAGGATGCTCAACATCACTAATCACTAGAGAAATGCAAATCAAAACCACAGCAAGGTATCACCTCACATGGGTCAGAATAGCCATCAGCAAAATTTCTACAAACAATAAATGCTAGAGAGGGTGTGGAGTAAAGGGAACTTTCTTGCACTGTTGGTGCAAATGTAAATTGATACAGCCACTATGGAGAACAGTATGGAGGTTCCTTAAAAGAACTGAAAATAGAAGTACCATATGACCCAGTAATCCCACTACTGGGCATATAACCTGAGAAGACCATAATTCAAAAAGAGGCAGGTACCACAATGTTCACTGCAGCATTATTTACAATAGCCGGGACATGGAAGCAACCTAAGTGTCCATTAACAGATGAATGGATAAAGAAGTTGTGGCACATGTATACAATGGAATATTACTCGGCCGTAAAAAAAGTGAAATTAGTTATTTGTAGTGAGGTGGATGGACCTAGAGTCTGTCATACAGAGTGAAGTAAGTCAGAAAGAGAAAAACAAATACCATATGCTAACACATATATATGGAATCTAAAAAAAATGGTTCTGAAGAACCTGGGGGCAGGACAGGAGTAAAGATTCAGATGTAGAGAATGGACATGGGGAGGAGGAAGGGTAAGCTGGGACGAAGTGAGAGAGTGGCAAGGACATATATACACTACCAAATGTAAAATAGATAGCTAGTGGGAAGCAGCCGCATAGCACAGGGAGATCAGCTTGGTGCTTTGCAATGACCTAGAGAGGTGGGATAGGGAGGGTGGAAGGGAGGCACAAGAGGAAGGGGATATGGGGATATAGGTATACATATAACTGATTCACTTTTTTATACAGCAGAAACTAATACAACATTGTAAAGCAATTATACTCCAATAAAGATGTTAAAAAAAAAAAAAGGAAGAAGACATACTATCACCAGTCCAATCAACATCATACTGGAAATTGTAGTTAATGTAACTAGGCAAGAAAAAGAAATAAAATACCTACAGATTGGAAAGGAAGAAATAAAAATGTCTTTATTCACAAACATAATTTTCTAAATATACAGTCCTGAGAAATCAACAATAACAACAACAGCAAAATTCATAGAAACGGTAAGTGAGTTTAACAAGGTCACAGGCCACCAGTTCAACGTTCAACACACAAAAATCAATCGTAGTTTGTTTGGTTTTTTTTGGCTGCACTGGGTCTTCATTGCTGTGCGCGGGCTTCCTCCAGTTGTGGCGAGCGGGGGCTATTCTTCACTGTGGTGTGAGGGCTTCTCATTGTGGTGGCTTCTCTTGTTGCGAAGCACAGGCTCTAGGCATGCGGGCTTCAGTAGTTGTGGCTAGCAAGGTCAGTAGTTGTGGCTCACAGGCTCTAGAGCGCAGGCTCAGTAGTTGTGGCGCATGGGCTTTGTTGCTCCACGGCATGTGGGATTTTCCCAACCAGGGCTCAAACCCATTTCCCCTGCATTGGCAGGCAGATTCTTAACCACTGCACCACCAGGGAAGCCCCAAACATAGTTTTAGACACTAGTAAAAATACATACCATTTTCATATTTCATATTCAAGAAAAATAAAATACTTATGTATAAACCTAACAAAATATGCATGGGACCTGTGAGTTGAAAAAACTACAAAATGCTGATGAAAGAATTCAAATTTGGCCTAAATAAATGACAAAACATACTCTGCTTACAGACTGGAAAACTCAATATAGTAAAGATATTCATTTTTCCCAGATTGATCTATAGATTCATACAATTTCAGTCAAAGTTCCAGCAGGATTTTTTTTTTATAGAATTGGGCAGACTAATTCTAAAATTTATATGGAAAAGCAAAGAAACTAGAATAGTGCTACGGACTGAATGTTCATGTACCCCTAAAATTCATATGCTGAAACCCCAATCCTCAGTGTGATGGTATTTGCAGATGGAGCTTTGGGGAGGTCATGAGAGTGGAGCCCTCATAATGGAATTACTGCCCTTAGAAGAACAGGCAAGAGAGAGTTTACTTCCTCTCTCTTTCTTCCATGTGAAGAATACAGCAAGGCAGCCAGCTATGAACTAAGAGGAGGCTCTCACCAGCCATGCTGACACCCTGATCTCAAACTTCCTACCTCCAGAACTGAAAAATAAATGTTTGTTGTTTAAGTCACTCATTCTGTGTCATTCTGTTTTAGCAGCCCAAACTGATGAAGACAAATAGCTAAACCAATCCTGGAAAATGAAGAGTAAAGTTGGAGAAGTCACACTACCCGAATTTTAATACTCTTTATAAAGCTACAGTAGTCAAGACATGGAATTAGCAAAGAAATAGACATGCACGTATCAATGAAACAGAACAGAGTCCAAAAATAGCCCCATACAAACATGACCAAGTCATTTTTTTTTTTTTTTTTTACAAAAGTACAAAAGCCATTCAATGGGGAAAGGACAGTCTTTTCAGCAAATGGTACTGGAACAACTGGACATCCATATGCTAAAATAAAAAAAACTGAACTTCAACTTAAATTTCACACCATATACAAAAATTAACTCAACTGGATCATATATCTAAATATAAAATATAAAACTACAAAACTTGTGGAAGACATGGGCAAAATCTTTGAGATCTAAAGTTAGGCAAAACATTCTTAGATAAGACACAAAGTATAACGCATAAAAGAAAAAAACTGAAATTCAGATTTCTTCAAAACTAGAAACTTTGGTCTGCAGAAGACACTGTTAAGAGAGTGAAAAGACAAGCTACAGACTGGAAGAAAATATTTTCAAATCACGTGTTCAACAAAGGGCTTGTATCCAGAATATATAAAGAATTCTCAAAACTCAACAACAGGAAAACAAGTAGCACAATTTAAAAATGGGCAAAGGACTGAAATAAACACTTCTTCAAAGAGGATGTATGGATGTCAAAAAAATGTTCAACATTATTAACCGTTAGGAAAATGCAAATTAAAATCATAGTGACATACCGCTACACACATTAAATGGCTAAAATAAAATTTTAAATACCCCAAATGCCAAGTACTGATTCAAATATGGACTAACTAGAACTCTCCCACCTTGCTGATAGGAATGCAAAATGGTGTGGCCACTCCAGAAAGCAGCTTGGCAACTTCTCACAAAGTTAAACGTACACTTACCATATGACCCAGCAATCCAACTTCTAATTATTTACCCTAAGAAATGAAAACCCAAGTTCACACAAAAACCTGAACACAAATGTTTATAGTGGCTTTATTCATTATTGTCCCAAACTGGAGGCAACCTAACTATCCTTCAAAAGGTGAATGGATAAACAAACTGTGGAACAACCATACAGTGGAATATCAACCACTCAGCAATAAAAATGAACAGATTTTTAACACACACAACAACTTGAATGAACCTCTAAGGTATTATGCTGAATGAAAAAGCCAGTTTCAAAGGGTGATCTACTATATGACTCCCTTTATATGACATTCTCGAAAACACAAAACTATAGTGATGGCAAACAGACAAGTCAGTGGCAGAGGTTGGAGGTGAGGAAACAATGTGACTAGAAAGAGCTAGCATGAGGGACCACTGTTTTAATTATGGTGGTGGTTACATAAATCCATATATGTGTCAAAATTAATAGAATCGTATACACACAAAACATTAATTTTACTATATAATAATTTTTAAATAAAAATTTTAAAATAAATACTAACCTATGAGACAGACAAGCTATACCAACTCAAAGCTAAGAATACATTGTTTTGCAGTCCCTTCCCTGATCCTTGCAAATAGTTTGCAAGATTCTCTCAGGCTGTGAGCTACCACAATACGTTGAGCTTCAGGGTTCAGAAGCCAACCTGGGGCAGATTGCTGCCCTATTTGAGCACCCAACTATTGGGTTCTCAAGAATTTTAGCAAATAAATTAATTGGAAGATGATTCTTAGCATTAAATAATGATTCTTCACTTACCAAAAGGTTCCTTTGCAACGAGAACTGTCTAGTCCCCTTCAGTCTGTACAGATTGCAGACCTAATGGCAAAGAAATAAAAAACCTAAAACAATGGAAACCACTGCTTATTGAACTGAAGTGATGCCCTACACAATGCTAAACTTAGTAGGTAAAGCAATGAGAAAATTGAATGAAATTTACCAATGTTTGAGGTACACAAAAAATTTTAAATCCAGCCATTGTCTGCAAGATGTATTCAATAGTCGCTTGACCCAGCATGCAATGAATTACAGGCACAGTGGTTGGAGAATCATCATCTAAAGTCTGAATTGCCTTCTCCCCAAAACAGAAAGAGAAAAGTGGAGTTATCTCACTTCTCTGCTCCTTTTCCCAGCCTCTCTCTTTCATCATTATTCTCAAGGAGGAAATATCACAAACCTACTGTCAAGACTCTGCAGAGAAATTGGAGAAGCTTTCAGGCCTCTGTCCAGAAGACCCTCCGACTATCTTATTTAATTCTCCCATCAAACCATGAAATAGGTACTTATATTGTTTACGAATGCTTTTGGCTGCAAGGAACAGAATAATCAATTCACAGCAACATTAACAAACAAGGGTTCATTTTTCTCACGTGAAACTTGGGCAGTTAGGCTTTGTCTTAGCTGCTCCATGATGGAGGACCCTGAATAGGTGTCTCCACATTCTCCTGGTCTCTTGGGAATAAAATTGCTGCCACAGCCATAGCATTAGTCAAGAAATTTCCATTGTAGGAAGCAGGGGGCAGCATGAGCGGGGTGGGGGGGGGGGTTCCTCCCACCAACCAACTTCACGTCAAGAAGGAAGCAGGTGGCAGACAGAATACAGAGATGCTCTTTGTCTGCCTTCTCATATCAGGGAGGGAAAATGCCAGAACGACTCCCAAAATGTTCCCTTTTCAACTCATTGGCCAGAACTGATCACATGTTCACTCTAGGATCAGGACCTAGGCCCACCTCCCCAGAAATCATGGGAAGTGACACCTGAACAAAATTGATATTCTGTTGGCAAGGAAGAAAAGGAGGCCATAAACATTGCCTGCCATGGTACAGTTACTATTTCCTCCTTTTTACAGATGAGAAAACTGTGGCTTAGAAAAGATAAGAGACTTGCCCAAGGTCACCCAGCTGATAAGTGCAGAAGCCAGATTGCAAACCCAAAACTGTCTGGCGGCCAAGCCTGTGCTCTCAACCTCTGTTAGTACCTCTTTGGAATGCAGTTCATGTTGTGATCAATTCCTTCCCTCCCTGAGGCCGCAAGCCAGGAGGGCTAGTAGAGATTGCACTGCTAATGACTATGCAAGTCTTAGAAAAGAGAACAGAGCAAGAGTCCCACTGTGGGTCAGCATCTGGGTCATCCTGCACCTGCTTACCTGATGGCAGGGGAGAGCATGTCTGTGAAATCTCCATCTTCCTGTGGCTCTGTCTTCCTTGGCCTCTCCCCACTGGCCTCCATCTTCCTCTTTGAAGAGGCCCTTAGAAACCATCCAGGGGAACAGAGCTGGGTAAGGGAGCTGGGTTGGAAATTCTGCCCCTCTGGCTTGCTCCCTGACCCAGCCACTCTGGGCTGCTTCCTTGGCCCTGTTCAGTTTGCTCATCTTCTCCCTGCTGATTTTCCTAGGGACCCTGATATCCAAAATAACTCAAAAGTCACCATATGTGACTCTAATGCATACATATCCTCCCTTAAATGAGGGCTGCAGACTGTATTTATTTCAATGAGAAAACAAATTAGCAGGTAATAAATTGTCCCTCTTTTTCTGTGTTCCTAGTGGGCCCCACAATTAGCAAGAACCAACTGTCACATTAATTTCACTGTCAGGGACCAGCACTAAGGGTGACATCATACTGTTCCCTAGCCTGGGTGGGAAGTAGGCACACCTGTGGCCCTGAAGTGGACCAGTGGGGAAAGGGAAGTGGACACTATTCATGAACAGGTTCCATGTCAAATCCTACTGTGTTTTTTTCTGGGCTGTTTCCCAAGAGGAGAGAGCTGGGTCTCTAAAAACTTAAAGGCATTATGGTTTCGGGCACAGGCACAAATAGATTTTCCAACACTGGTTATGTTCTCAACACACTGCTGGTACCTCCATCCCTGTTTCAGGAGGTCTTGTAGGGAAAGAGCATCTTGTTGTGTTTAAGTAATGGTCTCTCCGTTCCAAAAGAATTTCTGCAACATTATTGAGTGGGACAAGGAAGGATTAGCAAGTCCGCAGATTATCTGAGCAATAAAGATATACTGCCATAGGCCTTTTCATTTGGAACTCAGTCTTGGTCAATATCAACATCTTATGGCAAGTCGATAAATCCCGGTATCAACCGCCGTGGAAGAAGTGTCAACACCTGCTGCCGGCAACTTAGTTTATGGTGAATCAAGACCTTGAACGAGGCTTTAAATTTGCTGATGCCTTTTTCTGCGGGGTTTGGTTTGTCGCGGCTCACCCAGCCAGATCGATTCGATGCGTCGTGCTGGGGAAGAGGAAAAGGTTTGTGGCTCTCAGAGTATTAGCAAGTTCATTTCACACTGATGCTGTGACAGAGGCCAGGGGAGGGTTTACAGAGGCGGCATTCATCAAGCTGGCTGGTCGTCCACGACATCCCTCAGGCTTGGAGCCGAGAGACAGGGAAGGTGGGCGCTGATGGCTGGCAGTTCATAGGGAGAATTGTGGCTTTCTTTGAGAGAGGACATGTAGTGAAAAGGGGGTGGGATCCGGAGGCTCTAATGACTCCCACGCTAGGAAAGGAGCCAGCTCTCAGGAGCTGTTTGAGTCTAAGGGCATTTTTCCCTTCCTGGAGAGTCTGTGGCAGACTGACTGCAAAAATGGCCCTAATTCTCCATCCTTCCCACACCACTTGCAATGTGACCTGGTAGTTCTTCTCATCAAGAAGTTGAAACTATTTCCCTGTTCTTTAAATCTAGGCTTCCTTGTAAGTTCCTCTGACCAACAGAATGTGGGCAGCAACATATCAGCTCCAAACTAGGCCTCTAGAGGCCTCATCTACTCCCCTCTCCCTCTCCCTCTCCCTCTCCCTCTCCCTCTCCCTCTCCCACCCTCCACAACCCCCCTTTCTCCCTCCCCTGTCATGAGAACACCATCAGCTAACCTTCTGGAGGGGAGAGAGCATGTGGAGAAGAGCCAAGTCTCCCCAGCTGAGGTCATTCTGAACCAATCAGCCTCCAGCCAACCTGACCACAGATGCTGAGCCCAGCTGAGCCCAGCCCAGATCAGCAGAGCCATAAGCCTGTGAGCAATGATAAATGGTTATTGTTTCAAGTCAGTGAGGTTTGGGGGATTTTTTTTGTTTTTTTGGGTTTTTTTGGTGGGGGATGTTTTTTTATGTAGCATTATTATGTCAATAGATAATTGATACATGGTTCATCCAGTTGTTTTAGTAACCAAAGCAATGCCCAGGAGAAATCACCCCAGGCCGTGAACTTCAGGGTTCCTGACTCTCTGAGGACCAGAGTTCTACAAACTGGTCTAAGAACCTGAAGTCTGTATACACTATGTACATGCAACAAAAACTCCACAAAGCCAGTCCATGCCTTCCCCCAAAAATACTGACAGCAAAAGGCCATACACATTTCCCCAATTTAACTTAATCTTAGGGGTAAATGTAATGATCTCCAAGACAACCAGGCCAGATCTAGCTCCAGGACTCTGAACAACACTTCTTTTTTCTGGAATGGATAGACAAGTACCAGCTAGCCCCCACCTCCCCACACAGCCTCCCTAAGTCAGTGAAATATTTTCTGTAAAATGGTAAAATTTCTACTGCTCCTCTAATAAATTACCACAAATTTAGTGTCTTCAACAATATAAATACATTATCTGCTTGTTCTAGAGGTCGAAGTCGGACATGGGTCTCAGTGAGCTAAAATCAATGTGGTGTCAGGGCTGCCTTCCCTTCTGGAAGTTCTAGGGGAGAATCTGTATCTTTCCAGCTTCTAGAGGTTGCCCTCATTCCTTAGCTCATGGCCCTTTCCCCCATCTTCAAAGTCAGCAACAATGGATTGAGTCCTTGTCATGTCACATCTCTCTGACCTACTCTCCTGCCTCACTATTCTACCTTTAAGGACTCAGGTTATTAAATTGGACAATCCAATAATCCAAGATAATATCACCATCTCAAAATCTTACCCTTAATCATATCTTCAAACTCCCGTTTGCATTATAAAGTAATGTAGTTACAGTTTCCAGGGATTAGGACATAGACATCTTTGGGGGCCATTATTCTGCCTCCCACAATTTCACTGTGATTTTGTATAATAAAGATTGAAAGACAGGAAGCTTTTGTTTTTCTCAGACATCTCCATAGAACTGAGGGGCCTACACCTGGAATTCTATAAAATGGGATCATGTTAGAAAAGAAGGGAGAGATGGAAATGAACCAGGATCAATAATATCCCCTAATTCATCCACAAAGTTGCAGGGCATCCTACCCTCCATGAAATGGTGATCTCACTACTGAGGAAGCAGTAATTCAAGGGCAGGGTTAGATAGCTTTATTCTACAAGGAACACAGCTCTTCAGGGTGTCATAACCCTGAACAGAACTGCCAGAAAACTGTTGACACCTCTCATGGCAATTCCAGAAAGGCCATTCAGGAGCCATGGCAGACTCTGAAACCAATGAGGTTCTTTCCCCACTTACTGAACCCTGTGCTAATAGTTGAGGGGTTGCAGAGATGGATCTGAAGAGATTCTGCCCTCAAAGGGCTTACAGACTAGAGATTATACAGAACAGGCATTTAAATAAATGACGGTTACAATTTTTAGAAAGAGAAAAGCATCACAAGAAATAAACAGATAAAATGTGATGAAAGTTCGGAGCAAAAGAAGATGGGAAGAGTGCAGAGTGGATAGGAAGAAGAGGAGAAAAAGAATAAGCTGGGAGGGCATTCTGAAAGAATTTAAGGAAGCACAATATAAATTAAAGTTATAAACTTTATGGTTTAAGCTGGGGTAGACAAACTTTTTCTGCAAAGGGGCAAACAGTAAATATTTTAGGCTTTGCCGGTCATATGGTCTCTGTTGCAACTACTTAACTCTTCTGATGTAGTGCAAAAGCAGCTAAGAAAGCATGTGAGCATGGCTGGGTTCCAATGAAACTTTATTTATAAAAAGAGATGGGCCAAATCTGGCAGATCCCCATTTTAAGCCATGCTGTAGGCATCAAGTAGCATAATCATGAAAGGATTTATGGAAGATATAATGCTTTGGTTAAGCTTTGGTGAATGGATAGGACTTGAATGTGAAGGAAGAACAGTCAAAGAAGAAGGTAAAATTAACAATCTTTGTGGGATACTGAAGAGACCAAGTCCTTAAGGGTTTCAAATAGAGGATTTTGTATGGGGGAAATACTTGAAACACAACTAGTTTGAGTAGAGGTATTTTATGGAGAGCCTAGATAGGCAAGGAAAGAAGTTTTGGTGTAAGACGATGGGAATTAGGAAGCCGTGGATAGGCTTTGACCTGGTAAATGATGGCATGCAAATATTTTTCAAATCACTAAGTTCAAGGATTGGCATCTAGGGCCGTACAAGCACACGAAGCAGAGGTCCTGAAGACTGTCGCTACAGGATTAAAAGCTCGCCCTTTAATCCCCAGCCAACAACTGGTCATGATGTCACCTGTTTCCACACACAATTGGAGCTGGTCTGCACCTCACACAGAGCTGGGCCCGGATTCCCAGAAGATTCAAGGTGCCCATTAGGGTCTGAGCTTGGTTTCCCCGAAGCACTGGGCGTTTCTGCCTTCCTGTCCTCTGCGAAGAGGGCTCTCCCTCCACCTCTTCCCCTGCTCTCTGCTCTGCCTCCTCCACCCCAGAGCCTTCTTGCTGCTGTGAATCGCATGTTATAACAAATGAGTTACCGAAGGCTCCAACAAGCTGCTCATCGTTAACCCCAGCAGGAGAAAAGCAGCCGCGACCTGGAGCTGCGACCTTGTTAGAGTTGGTAATGAGGTAACGGGAAAATATTTCTGCCTGATTAGAATCCCTAATGAGCTGCTGACAACGGTGAGCAGAGAAAGGCCAGCTTCTAGCTCTCTCCCCATCCCCTCCCACACCTCTCCCTGCTCCCAAGCAGCGCTCCAGGCAGGAAAGTGTTCTTTGCCAGCAGTTAAGACCATAAAGAACAAACACAGGGGCTTCCCTGGTGGCGCAGTGGTTGAGAGTCCGCCTGCCGATGCAGGGGACGCGGGTTCGTGCCCCGGTCCGGGAGGATCCCACATGCCGCGGAGCGGCTGGGCCCGTGAGCCATGGCCGCTGAGCCTGCGCGTCCGGAGCCTGTGCGCCACAACAGTGAGAGGCCTGCGTACCGCAAAGAAAAAAAAAAAAAAAAAAAGAACACACACAAAGCAGCCCCAGAAACTCCCTTTCCATCTCTCTTCTCCCTCTCCCTAGGAGGATATACCTCCATCTTATTCATTTTTCCATGCATACGGACCGCTGCCACCTGCTAACACCCTAACGATGCCACCTGGACCATACATAATTGGTCACAGGTGCCCCATGGGTCCTGGCAAGGTCCTCACTCAGAAAGAAATAGAAATGCAGGAGAATGCTGCATCTGACTAGCCACTGGAAACATGAGGCCACAGGCCAAATTCCCACAGCAACCAGTCAGAGCCAATTCTCCAATGCAAAGAATTTTGCTTGCGTTCAATTCAGAGAATATTCTGAAATCCCCATTTTCTTCTAGTTGACTGATTTTAGAAAGCATCTGGATTAGCTCCAGAGTGAATTGATTCACCACAATAGTGATTTTTAGAAGGAAAATAAAAACTCACAACATATTTTGGAGGTAGTTCATGGTTCAATAAAAAAATAATATTTGGGTTCAGTTTGGGATTCAGGTTGTGCTTATGGTCAAGTTCCTGTGTCAGAGGGACTTGAATTTTTAAAGCTTACGAGATATTTATGTAGTCCCGGATTATGAATTCAAAGGAAGAGAAGATATGTTGCTGTAGTAAGAAAAGAAAGTATTCCAGGATTTGGTAAAATCCCCCTTGGGGTGCCTGTGAGTTCTGTTTGTGGGATACAGCCCAGTCTGGCTCCTCTACCGGGCAAGGCAGCTCCCACTTCATTTCTAAGGGACCCCACCACTACCAAGGTCCCTTTGCTGTGTCCACAACAGAAGCAGGCTTTGGCTGTATTCTAAATCACAAAGCATCTGACGTTTTAGCTACCATTAAGCAAATCACACCAGAGCAGTGGTCCTCAAGCTTGGTTGTACATTGTTATCTCCCAGGGAGTTTTAAAAAAATGAGGATGCCAGGGTCCACCCTCAGAGATGTTGATTTAATTGGTCTGGAGTATGGCTTGGGTGTTGGGACTTTTAAGTGTGCTTCTAGAGCTGAGAGCTACTGGTCTAGTGTACTGCTTCTCAAACTTCAATGTATATATGGATAGCTTGGGCTTTTGTTAAAATGAAGGTTCTGATTCAATAGGTCTTGGATAGACCTGAGATTCTACATTTCCAGCAAGCTCCCATGCTGCTGGTCCTTGGACCACGTTGATTAGAAACGATCTAGCATATCATCCTGAAGTGCTATTATATTTATTAGACACTATATTTGAGAGAACTCAGTCAACCACAATCAGTAGAAATCCAACTCAAACTGGAATAATTGAAAGGAGGAATTCATTGGTACAAATAAGTGGGGAAATCCAAGGGTGGGGCTGGCTTTAGGCATGGATATATCCAGGAGCTCAAATTATGTCACTAGGACCTTCTGTTTCTATTTTTGCTTTCCCAGGTTTCCCTGGTGGTGCAGTGGTTAAGAGTCTGCCTGCCAACGCACGGGACATGGGTTCAAGCCCTGGTCTGGGAAGATCCCACATGCTGCGGAGCAACTAAGCCCGTGTGCCACAACTACTGAGCCTGCGCTCTAGAACGCATGAGCCACAACTACTGAAGCCCGTGTGCCTAGAGCCCGTGTTCCACAACAAGAGAAGCCACCGCATGAGAAGCCCGCATGCCGCAATGAAGAGTAGCCCCCGCTCGCTGCAACTAGAGAAAGCCCGCGCGCAGCAACAAAGACCCAGTGCAGCCAAAAATAAATAAATAAAATAAATAAATAAATAATAAAATTAAAAAAAAATAAATAGGGCTTCCCTGGTGGTGCAGTGGTTGAGAATCTGCCTGCTAATGCAGGGGACGCAGGTTCGAGCCCTGGTCTGGGAAGATCCCATGTGCCGCGGAGCAACTGGGCCCATGAGCCACAACTACTGAGCCTGCGCGTCTGGAGCCTGTGCTCCGCAACAAGAGAGGCCACGATAGTGAGAGGCCCGCGCACCGCGATGAAGAGTGGTCCCCGTTTGCCACAACTAGAGAAAGCCCTCGCACAGAAATGAAGACCCAACACAACCAAAATAAATAAGTAAATTAATAAATTCCTGCCCCCAACATCTTAAAAAAAAAAAGATTAGCACGTTTAAAAAAAAATAAAAAATAAAAAAAATAAAATAAAATAAAATAAAATAAATAAATAAATAAATTTTTAAATGTAAAATATTTTTGCTTTCCCTTTAGTGTGCTCCATTTTCAGTCAGGCTCTCTCCATGCGGCATCAAAGATGTTCCAAACAGTTCCAGACTTACCTCACCCACACAGTTGGCAGAGCCAGAGAAAAGAGCGTGCCACTGTCTCCTTCACCATCCACACTGGCCCCTGAATATGACTCATAATCCCCACTGCTGGACAGGGACGGGCAGAGCTCCATAGTTAATAGCCTCACCTGAAACACAGGTATTGGGGAACGACAGTTTCCCAAGGGAGGGATGGAGAGCAAACCACAAAGGAGCTGATGTCCCCCATGAGCACCACAGTCACGTGCCAGAAGCTCTTCGGATGTTCTCTGCCACTTCCCCTTCTCTTGCTGTTGGCTCTCACCCACCATGACTCTTCTCTGCTCTTCACAAATGCGAAGGGCCTCCCTATTCCTCAGCAATCTGTCCCTTATAGAGTCTCTCCAGTCAGATGCTCACAACTGGGTGAACAGAAGCCAAGGAAGTCCTTAAAACTCTAACTTCCTACATCTCTCCTGACCTCCAGGACCAGAACAGGAAGAGGGCCACAGAACAGACAGTGCTTTAGAGATAGAAAAAACGTTCAGAGAGCATGTTGAATCCCTCCATTTTACAGATGAGAACACTGAGGCTCAGAGTAACTGAGTAACTTGTCTGAGAACACTCAGGCAAAGACTGGCAGAGCCACAGCCTAAATTCAGGTTTTCATTTCTGTCAGTCACCAGGAAACTGACCCAAGCTGTCAGAAACAGAGGGACGGGTCGCCAACTAACTCAGTATTGGGTTTGTTTTGATGCTAAATGCGCCACTGGCCGGAACCAGTCCACAGCACCACTCTCCGGGCCCCAGCGTCCGCGGGAGTGGCGACACTGGCAGGGATGCTGCATCCGAGGACGGCCTCACTCCACGGGACCTCGCCCGCCAGCCTACCAGCCGCTGTGCCCTTGCCCTGGCCGAGGCTGCACCAGCTCTCCCGGCCGTAATGATCCGTGACTGCATCCAGACTCCTGGGACGTTCGACCTTCCTTTGCAAACACAAGGGCCTGGGGAGAGCAGGGGAGGGAAGCAGGCGGAGCCTGGGCCTGGCTGGGGGAGCCTCCCCCAACCCTGGCCCCCAGCAGGGACCCCAGCAGTGCTGCCCCCTGCAGGCATCTGCCCAGGTGAGGCGGGCCAAGGAAGCGGGCAGCAGGATCGCATGTGGGAAAGGACGGACACACGGACACACACACACACACACACAGTCTCGGCCATGACTTGGGCCCAGCCACCCGTCCTGCCAATCCACCCCCCTCCCCAGGTTGGAGGCAGCGGGAAGACTTGCCAACCTCCAGCTACCGCCCCTCATGCCACTCCCCAACTCCAAAAACCCCAGGCTGCTGGCCAACAAGAAAGCAGAGGGTCCCATGGCAAATTTCTTATGGGAGCGGGGCTGCCCCTACCTCCTACAAAGAGGCTGGGAATTGTGGCCAAGAGATGGGGCAGCTCTCAGCTCCGGAGTGGGTTCCAGGGGTGTGCAGTGCAGGGAGAGACTGCCCAGCCCCTAAACTGTCACAGTCAGGTTGATTGTACCTTCAAGTTTCCATCACCTCCATCCCAACCTTCACCCACCCTGTCCAGCCATCATCCAGCTAACCCTGTGTGGTTTTCTGCTTTGCACTTCTCACTGCCCAATGTTATATATTTGTTTGTTGTCTCTCCCTCACCTGACCCCATTCACTGCTACATACTCAGCACCTACAATGGTACCTGGCCTGCAAAAGACAATAATTGTGACGGACGCCACGATAGCAATAGCTTCAGCTGAAGAGAGCTGCCCTTCCCAGGTTGGCCCACATCCCTGGACTGATGGAGGTCCAGCATCTAGGCCCGACCTAGGACAACTCTGTAGGTCAGGTCTAGCTCCAGAGCGCCCTTTGGGGTTGACTGCGGCTGTGTGGTTCCCCTTTGCCCACTCCCGTGTCTGTTCCCTTCTTTCCACAGGTGTTGGTGCAAGGACACTCCTTACCATCGTGCTCAATAAACTCAGCCTCAGTGCCCACTTCCCAGGGGGCCAGAGCACAGCAGTATATATCTCTGGAATGAAAATGGACAGAGAGAGAGGAAAAAAGAAAGAGCTTTGACTTTCTACTGTTGTTCACCATCCACATCCCCAAAGTACCTCAAATCTGCCTATTTCTCTCCCCGTCCAATGCCACCACCATAATTAAAGCCACCACTCTCTCTTGTTTGGAGCCCTGTATCTCCTCTGGAACGGACGCTGTGAGGCCCACCCCAGACCCTCTATCTAGCATCCCCTGAACACAGCTGCAGCCGTGGTGGAGGGTTGCCAAGAGGCCGGCAGCTTCCCTCCTCAAGCAGCTCCCCTGCTTTCTCCCAGGGCTTTCTGACACAGCACAGCAGCTTGCTCGGCCCAGAGCAGGGCAGCCCGGAGTGCTAGGGATCTTACAGCCCCCCAGGGACACTCCGCAAGCATCACAGATGACCACCCATCCCCACTCCTCGGGAGGACAATGCTGAGGCATATTCCACAAGATTCCTCAGAGGCCCCCAATGGGATTCAGCCCCTCCATTCACCACCCCAACTCTTCTTCTCAGTTCCCCCCATTCCCTCACTTGTGCTTCCCAAGTAAAAACTAGCAGCACCTAAATCCTTGTCTCAGTACCTGCTCTGGGGGGAATCCAAACTGGGTGAGCCTCCTGACTGACCTGGGCTTCCGCTCTTGCTGCTTTGAGCTTCTGAAGACAGCACTGCAGAGAACCAGCCTTCCAGGCTCCTCCAGGCCACAGGGACTTCGCTGTGTGGCTCCGTCTATTATTTCCTTCAGCAACTCTTTGTTGAGTGCCTACTGCTTCAGACATTGGGGTACACGGCAAAGCAAAGTCAAAAATCCTCCCACTCCTCCCCAAGTCCCTTCTCACCAGATTCTTGCTTCTCTTGCCTCACTCCTATTTACCATTTAAGTCTCAGCTTGTAAAGCATGGCCTGTGTTCATTCAGGAAGGTCTCCAAACCCTGCCTTCTCCATGCAGTCTTCCTCCACCAGGGTGAGAGAGCTCCCCTGCCCTACTCCAGGGCCAGGTGCACCACCTGTCTTAGTCTGCTTGGCTGTCATACGAAATACTATAGACTGTGTGGCTTAAACAACAGAAGTTTGTCTCTCACAGTTCTAGAGGCTTGGGGCATCCAAGATCAAGGTGCCAGCAGATTGGCTTCCTGGGGAGAGCTTACTTCCTCTATGTCCTCATATGGTCTTTCCTCAGTGTGTGCAAGCTTCTTCTTCTTATAAGGCCACCAATCCCATCACGACTCTAATTATCCCCCAAAGGTCCCACCTTCAAATACCATCCCATTGTGACCTAGAGGCTTCAACATATGAATCTGAGGAGGACACAGATATTGAGTCCATAACACCAGTGATGAGAATGATCAGGTAAGAGATTGGTCCTCAGATGACTGAGGCAAAAACTGAATCATTTGGGCTTAAAGACTGAAATATAAGACATGATACCATAAAACTCCTAGAAAAGAACGTAAGCAAAACATTCTCTGACATAAATCGTACCAATATTTTCTTAGCTCAGTCTCCCAAGGCAATAGAAATAAAAACAAAATTAAACAAATGGGACCTAATCAAACTTATAAGCTTTTGCACAGCAAAAGGAAACCATAAACAAAACTAAAAGACAACCTACAGACTGGGAGAAAAATATTTGCAAATGATGTGACTGACAAGGTCTTAATTTGTAAAATATACAAACAGCTCATACAAGTCAATAACAAAAAAATGAACAACACAATCTGAAAGATGGGCAGAAGACTTAAATAGACATTTCTCCAAAGAAGACATACAGATGGCCAAGAGGCACATGAAAAGACTCTCAACATCACTAATTATTAGAGAAATGTAAATCAAAACTACAATGAGATATCACCTCACACCAGTCAGAATGGCCATCATCCAAAATACTACTATATTTAAAATAGATAACCAACAAGGACCTACTGTATAGCACAGGAAACTCTGCTCAGTATCTTGTAATAACCTAAATGGGAAAAGAATCTGAAAAAGAATAGATACATGTAAATGTATAACTGAATCACTTTGCTGTACACAAGAAACTAACACAGCATTGCTAATCAACTATACTCCAATTAAAAACATGTCTACAAATGACAAATGCTGGAGGGAGTGTGCAGAAAAAGGAACACTCCTACACTGTTGGTGGGAATGTAAATTGGTACAGACACTATGGAGAAGAGTATGGATGTTAGTTAAGAAACTAAAAATAGAGCTGCCATATGATTCAGCAATCCCACTCCTGGGCATATGTCCAGAGAAAAACATGGTTTGAAAGGATATATGCACCCCAATGTTCATTGCAGTGCTGTTTACAATAGCCAAGACATGGAAGCAAACTAAATGTCCATTGACAGACAAATGGATAAAGAAGATGTGGTACATATATACAATGGAATATTACTCAGCCATTAAAAAGAATGAAATAATGCCATTTGCAGCAACATGGATGGACCTGGAGATTATCATACTAAGTGAAGTAAGTCAGACAGAGAAAGACAAATATCATATGATATCACTTATATGCAGAATCTGAAAAAAATGATACAAATGAACTTATTTACAACACAGAAACAGACTCATAGACTTAGAGAAGGAACTTATGGTTACGGGGGGGAAGGGTAGGGGGTAGGGATAGACTAGGAGTTTGGGATTGACATGTACACACTACTATATTTAAAATAGATAACCAACAAAGACCCACTGTATAGCACAGGGAACTCTGCTCAATATCCTGTGATAACCTAAATGGGAAAAGAATTTGAAAAAGAATAGATACATGTATATGTATAACTGAATCACCTTGCTGTACACATGAAACTAACACAGCATTGTTAATCAACTATACTCCAATTAAAAAAAAAAAAGTCTACAAATGCCAAATGCCGGAGGGAGTGTGGAGAAAAGGGAACCCTCCTACTCTGTTGGTGGGAATGTAAATTGGTGCAGCCACTGTGGAAAACAGTATGGAGGTTCCTCAAAAAACTAAAAATAGAGTTGCCATATGATCCAGCAATCCCACTCCTGGGCATATATCCGGACAAAACAAAATTTGAAAAGATACATGCACCCCTATGCTCATAGCAGCACCATTTACAAGAGCCAAGACATGGAAACAACCTACAATAGATGTCCATCAACAAATGAACAGAAAAAGAAAATGTGGTATATACAATATATACAATGGAATATTACTCAGCCATTTTCAGCAACATGGATGGACCTAGAGATTATCAGACTAAGTGAAGTAAGTCAAAAAGAGAGACAAATACCATATGATATCACTTATATGTGGAATCTAAAATATGACACAAATGAACATATCTACAAAACAAACAGACTCACAGATATAAGAGAACAGACTTGTGGTTGCCAAGGGGGAGGCGGTGGGGGTGGGGGAGGGGAGGACTCGGAGTTTGGGTCAGCAGATGCAGACTATTATGTATAGAATGGATAAACAACAAGGTCCTACTGTATAGCACAGGGAACTATATTCAATATCCTGTGATAAACCATAATGGAAAAGAACATGGAAAAGAATATATATATGTATAACTGAATGACTTTGCTGTATAGCAGAAATTAACATAACATTGTAAATCAACTATACGTCAATAAAACTTTTTTAAAACTGCATCATTCATTCATCCATTAAACTGACATTTATTAGTACTTACTATGTACCAGTACTCTGCGCTGAGGTTCCAGTGTTGATTCAAGTAAATTTAGCTCCTGCCTTCATAAATATTACAGTCTTCAAGATATGACAACCAGAGGCTGTGGGGAAGAGAGCACCAGATGTCAGCGCAGGTCTCTGCAGAGTTCAGTCATTCATTCAACAAACATTTGGTGAGTTTGACTGTGTGCCAGGACACAGGGAGAAATCACAGTCACTGCCCTCACAAGGCTCACAATCCTGGAGGTATAGGCAGATTGCAAATACAACATGGTAAGTTCTACAGAGTTGAGTCATGACATATGTGCATGTAACATTTGTTCATGTAATTATACAGCAAAAAGAGAGAGAGAAAATAATCAGAGAAATAAAACAGTGGTTCACCCACCATTCCTCCCACTAAGCAATGCCCCAGCATCAGCACAAGATGATAAAGAGAAGCCATCAGACCTTCAGTTTGTTCCACTCCCTATTGCCTTTCTCGGTGTGATCATTGCCCACCTCACTGACATCCATTTATCATTAAAAACACGTTCTTCTTCACTCAAGGTCCCTAAACTAAAGCCAACTACTTCATCTGGTCATCAGTCAAAGAGGTGGGATCGCTTTCATCACTGGCTGGGCTGGACTTCTTAAGGGGTATCTGAAAAGAGTTTTTTTTTAGCAAACAATATGTTTTGTTATACAAGTATTAATTATAAGAATGTTTTCTAGTTTTTATTTTAATTTTATTTTTAATAGATTAAAAGTTCACAATCATTCAGAAGGAACACAGTAAAAAGTCTCCCTCTCATTCTGTCCTCAGCCATTCAGTTGCTCCCAGAGGCAACCAATGGCATATTTTTCTTCTTTAACACAAATAATAGCATGGTATTCACACTCTTCTGCACTTACTTTTTTCTCTTAACAATATACCTTAGAGATAATTCCATGTCAATATGACAAGCTTCCTCCTAATATACAGTGCTTACTATTTCTCTGCATGGATGTACATAATTTATTCAACCAGTCTCCATTGATGAGCATAAAGATTGTTTCTCATATTTTGCTGCAATGAATGACCTTGACCATACAACATTTTGCAAATGTGCCAGTGTATCTGCAGGACAAATTCCTGGAAGTGGAACTGCTGAGTCAAAGGGCATATCAGTTAAGATTCTGTTTGGTTGCTCATAACAGAAAAGCCAAAAACACAGTCATTTAAACAAGAAAGATACTTATTTCTCCCTTAAATAAAAGGAGTCTGGAGATGGGCCATCCAGAGCTGCCATGGGCTTCTAAGTGTCATAGAGACTAGAATTCTATCTTTTTGCTCTGACATCTCCTGTCTAAAGCTTATACAATTGTGCAGGCCTTCTTCAAGTAAAAGAACACAAAATTACAAATAATTATTTAGAATGAGGGAAAAAATCATAATGCATTATAAATTTTTAAAAGCTGAAATAACACAAACATCACTATACCCAGGAAAAATAATTATTCACCTTCCCAACATACCTTTATAACAGGTTTTTTTTTCTACTTTTTTTGTGCTACATGATCTTTGATCACTTTTCCATAAGATAAGATTTTGTAATATCTAATGGAAAATAAATAAAAAGATAATTGAATTTTTCTTTCAGCATGGTTCATTAAAATTTATTTTTATTGTTGATAGTTGATACGCATAAAACATATGAAACATACTATTTGTAGTACTACTGCAGGTTCTGCCCCACAAATATAGGAATTCTGATAAACTCTACGATTCATAATGCCCATCAAAAACTATATGGTGTTTGTAAATGTGTAAGCTAAGTTACTGAGCATGTTCCTGATAGAAGAAATCTTCCATTTTACTAGGCACCAGTGAGTACCAAATTCTCCACTTACAATTTTATACATCGGGTAAGTGGAAGAATATTACACAGACTAGCTTCTGGCTTTGTACATTTCAGCCTTTTTTTCTCCTCCACCACTGCTAAATACTTCTGATGATGGGCATAGGACACATTCACATCACATGACCTCTGGCCCTGCATCTTGATATCATAAAGTCCAGGGAGTTGGCACAGTGAGCAGTAAGTGTCTTCATGGAAGCCATTCCTACAACAGGACAACTTGGAATTGACCGCAAACCACAGAAGCAGATACAGTCAAACACCAACTACATGTACCTACAGTTCAACTTCCTCTTAGCTGGATCCCCAAAATTCCCATGGCCGTTCCAATACCATCCAGCACAACACATGGTCATCCAATACCATGACACAAGGAAAATCAGAGTCGAAGTAGCAATCTTAACTATTTTCAGTTGACATATCTTGCTTCTGCAAAGATGGTGGCAAAAGCATATGACCCCATGAACACATCGCTAAGGCCCTTCTGGGGTCTTGGAAGATGCCTGTGCAACTGAGGGGCTCTGAGGCTTAAGCTCCATCACCTGCATGGTAGGATGCCCCTGGCCAGCAGGGTTCTAGATTCATCTGGTCAATCACATACCCGTGATTCATGGAAGGGAGGCAGAAGCCCTTCTTCCTTTGCCAGTGGCAGTTGCTGAAGCGCCAGTTTCAGCAGGTATGAGTTTTTGCTGTGGCCAGTAGGCTCTAGATCCCATGGTCTATCACCACTTTGGGTCCACAGGCTGCGTAGGGCAGCTGTATGGATCCGGCAGCAGCCTTCTCTTGTTTTTTGTTTGTCTGTTTCAGTGTAATTTTAATTCTAATTTCATACACGCAGGAAAGAAAAGAATACAATAAAAGCCCATATACCATCCACCTAGTTTTAACCGTTATTAATATTTTGCCTTTTCTGCCTCATAACTGGATCATTTCTTAGTAAATTAAAAACATCATGACACTTAATTCTTAAATATTTAACATGTATCTCCAAAGAGTAGGGATACTTCTCCAATTAACAATACCAATATTATATGTAACAAAAATAGCAGTAATTCCTTAATACCACCTAAAACTCACTTCATATTCAAATTTCTATAACTGTCCTAAAAAAATTTTATACCTGTTTCTTTGAAAGGAGGATCCAGTAAGTTTCACACAATAAATTTATTATGGCTCTTAAGTGTTGTCTCATCTGTGACAATTCCCCCTCATGACGCTGACCCTTTGAAGAGGTCAGGCCAGCTGTCATATAGAATGTCCCAAATTCTAAATATGTCTATCTCCTTACACTGTCACTTAATCCCTAGAATTTCCCACGAAATGCAGTAGATCTAAAGGCTTGGGTTTCTTTTTTTTTTGGCTCAGTCAAGCTGACGCATAAATTTAATCATTACGTGTTAACTTGGCATCCACGTGCATCTCCTAAACCCACACTTAATCTCCAAATAAAGACAATAACAAGGTTATAATTCTTCCTAACGTGTTATAGCTATCTTGCATACAATTAAAAACGCACTAAACCCTCCTCCAGGAAAGTAGGTAAAGTCCTTAAGTGATACTTTTCCCCTTGATATCTCATAGCTTAAATACTATGATGTAAAATTAATACTTAAATACTATAATAAAAAGTCAGTACATCTTATGTTACATGATATGGGAAAAGAAAGGGAAGAAAACATAAACACGCATATACACGTAAACATATGCATAACAAAATAAGGAGGAGATATTCATGACAATTACTTTCCTGTAACTGGTCACATGGTCATAGCTGGTATTTATAACTACCCTCTTCCACTACCCATTCTGTATTCCTTTTGCCTTCAGCAAGCACTCAGATGATCATAGTTCTTTACCTGTTGTGATGCAAACCTTCATTCCTGGGCCATTAGCAGACTAATATTCAATGAAATATTTGTTATATATTACATGCTATGCATAATTTTGGGATCTCTTTACATTTTGCTCTGTGCCATTTATTTATTTTTTTAAAGACACTTTTTTTAAAAATTATTTATTGTCTGCATTGGGTCTTTGCTGCTGCGCGCAGGCTTTCTCTAGTTGTGGCGAGCAGGGGCTACTTTTTGTTGCGGTACACGGGCTTCTCATTTTAGTGGCTTCTCTTTGTTGTGGAGCATGGACTCTAGGCACATGGGCTTCAGTAGTTGTGGCACACGGGCTCAGTAGTTGTGGCTCGCAGGCTCTAGAGCTCAGGCTCAGTAGTTGTGGCACACAGACTTAGTTGCTCCACAGCATATGGGATCGTCCCGGACCAGGGCTCGAACTCACGTCCCCTGCATTTGCAGGCGGATTCTTAACCACTGCACCACCAGGGAAGTCCCAGCTCTGTGCCATTTATTAGTTTCTACAGACATTTGTCTATAGGTACTATGGTTTGTCTGATATAATTAATTCCCACGTGGTGTAACTAGAACTAAAATCCACGTTTCCTGATTCCTCATCCAGTAATCTTTCAAAGGATAAAGGAAAATAAAATAGCTTGCTAGGATAATACAATTTATTTTCTTTCTTTTGCATTTTATCTGGGTAATTTTTTGTTTTTTGTTATATCTCAACTCCAAACTGAGCTTGAATAACCTCTTCTGCTTGAAGACGACACAGTTCTGATTCAAAACTTGCCAAATCCTGAGTTCAGAATTTTGTTTTCTTTCCGAGATGAATATAAAAGCACCTACAAGTCAAGGAAAATGTTCTTCCTCGTACGGGCCAGCAGAAGCACTTGAGCGCCAGGGGGCCGGCCCTCCCCTTGGCCCAAAGGCCAGATAGCCTCGGCACCTCACTCCGCCATCTTTGCTTCTTCTCAAGTCCAAGGCTTGGGTTTCTTAAAGCCATATTTATTGAGGTATAATTTATATCTGTAAAACATCATCTTTTTTACTTTACAGTTCTATGTGTTTTGACAAATGCAAATAGTCGTAATCTAAAAGCTTGGTTTGATTCAGATTTAACACATAAAGTCAAAATACTTTAAAAGGATACTTTGAATTTCCTATTGAACTTATATATCACATCTGCAGGCAAATGATGTCTAGTTGTCCCACAATTAATGGTACTAATTTTGAACATTGGGTTCCTATAGCTTTCTGTATATCTATGTCCTTTAGTAAAAGTTAATGGAAAACTACAGCAATACGAGAAGAACCACCAGGAGAGCGCAGCCTTCAGGAAGGAAGGCTTGGGTCATTCTACCAGATAGAGAACCCTGAACAGCTGAATGCTGGCTGAGAACAAAAGGAACAAGGGATAGATGGCAGAAGAAGGAAGTTACAATAATCAACAGAGGCCGGTTGCAAAAATGTAGTAAATATGCATATATTCTTCCTTGTTTTATTAGGTCTTTTCTTCCTCTTTCTTTCCCCTATTATTTTATACAAGGAGTGTTAGTGGCAGCTAATCTTCTAAATTAGTCTTTAGAATATCAAATGAGATGATGAGAGAAGTAGAAGGGAGAAAAACATCAGTCAGAGATGGACACAATGACTGATGAGACTTTGGGTCTTTCCTCTTGGGGGAGGGGGTGGCTATCTTCTCATTTGCATTATTTTATGTAACTATGCTTTCTTTTAGATGGAAGTACTTCTCCAATCTTATCTCTACTACTACCCTTTCATAGACTCTACTCCAGCTGTACAGGCTTCCTGTACCTCAAACAGACCAAGCACATTCCAGCCTTAGGGATTTTGGCACTTGCTGGTCCCTCAGCCTGGAATAGCCTCCTAGATAGCCAAGCTGCTGGTCCCTTATCTCCTTGGTGTTCAAACGCCATCTCATCAAGGAGGCCTTTCTTATTTAAATAGTAATGTCTACCCTCTCTCCAGAACTCCCTGTCCCCTTTTCCTGCTCTCTTGTCACAGCACATATCATGACTTGAGATACTGTCCACCACCACCCCCACTAGGATTATAAGCTCCGTGAGGACGAGGGTTTGAAGCTATTTTATTTATTGCTAAATCCCTAGCACCTTGAAAGTTATTGGCACATAACAGGCACTCGGTAAATGTCTATATGACTAAATCAATGAATGAAGCTAATATAAGACCTGTGGGACTTTCATGTAAACGGGACCAAAAGATGTAAATTTGGGGAGCAATGGGAGTGGATGAAACTATCTTAAAGGAGGTAAAGCTGTAGATGGGAAATACTAGGTCACAAGTCTTGTTAAGAGTTAAGTGTTTAGTCAACTGTATTTCAATTGAAAAAAGTTCAGTGTCTAGACCACACTATGAAGTAGATTTGGAAGTTCCAAGTCCAGCATTAAATAAGATCCTGATGATCATACTCTGTTTCTTTTCAATCTCAAATAAACATCAATTCAAAAAAAATTGGTTTTGAAATTTATTGAAAGCATCATCATTTTATTCATCTATAGAGATGAAGAGTTTAGTGAGGACAAGATGAAAATGCTGTAGGCAGGTGAGGGTCAACAGTAAGAGCCAACACATAAGATATGTCAGGCACTTTATATGTGTATTAATTTACGACAACTGTAAGGGTTCAATACTATTACTATTTCCAATTTACTGGTAACTAAATGAGCACACAGCATTTGAGACTTGGCCAGGGCCATTTGGCAAAGCTGCAGTTAGAAACTGAGCTTTTAGTCTTCGTGTTTTTCCCACTGCGCTGTGACTGCATTGATAAGAGCTTATTAGGACTGCACCGAGACTGTGGAGGACCCCATCTACAGTCCCCATCACTGTGCTCAACAAGAAATGTAGGAAGAGCACACTTAGAGTGGGGCTAAGTGGTCCATGAGGGATGAAACACATTATCAGAAAGGGCTTTGGCTGGAGGACCAGGAGACATGCATTCTCATCCTGGCTTTGCCACTGACTCTCAGGAACCGGGGACTAGTTACTGCCCGTTCTGACCATCCCCTTCCTCATTGTGCAAAGAGGGAGCCAACTCATACAATCTCACATTCCTTCCAGTTTGGAAATTCCAGTCTATAAACAAGCACCAACTCCATTAGCAAGTACGATTACCACATACCATAGATGCACCTTTCCTGTAACACCAGGTACAAGGTGTTAGGGGAAAATCAGCAAATAATTGGCAGTTAGTAGAAAGACATTTTCTGATGGAATCAAAAGCTCTAAGAAGCTTACTGGGAACCATAACTTGGAAAGGCGGTGTGATGGAGAGGACTGGGCAACTGAAATGTCCCTATACGTTGGCACTGCACAACTTGGAGGTGTATTTGTAAACGGAGTTCTTCCTTTCATTATTATAATGATGAGCAAAAATGGAAACTCTGCAACATGTCAAGGGAGAAGCTAGGAATAAAATTTAATTCCTGAAAACCTGGATAGAACCGTATAGCAGCCATGATCCTAAAAGAAGGAGTTATTATGCATATACATAGATCTATAAATAACTGGAAGTTTCTGTTGACTCTACACATACCTGCCCACATCCTGTGTTTTGTGTACATGTGTATATACACATCATATGTGCACATCTAAGAGTACATGTGTATCTATATATACCCACAGGAGTGGCCAGATCTATATTTATATATTAGAGCCTGGCTTAAAATGGGGGATAATGACACTGAAAATTATTCTAAGCTTTTCAAAGACATAAATGACCAAAATGCCTCCTGACTCCTGAATTACATTACCCAGAAAGAGCTTAATAACACGTTATTATCGCTTCTCCTCACTGACAGGATTTCAGGGCTGAAAAGACAAATAAGAAATGCATCCGTAATCACCAGCACAGTCACCTCTGCCAAGCTGTGGCCACTGCTAATTCCAGGTAGGTGCTGTTGGGTGGAAGAAAGCCTGGGGCCAGTAATGTGACTTGGTGCTTGGTAATTGTCACCAGTTCAGTTGGACTGTCACCATCTGAGAGGGCGTGGCTATGGGGAGCTCATGGAACAAACAGAGAATCCCATGGGTGAAGGTCAGAGGAGAGAGAATGCATTATGGGAACCAAAACAGAATTTCTCGGTTCAACTGACACAATGGAGGTGAAATTCCTTGTAAACTGTAAAGTGCTTCACAAATGTGACTGTGAATGGGAAGGGCTATCATTAATGGGTCCTGTTTGCGTTATCAAGGCTGCCGTGTATAGCTGTACAGGCTGTGCATTGCTCAACTTCTGAGAATGTCATTAGTTTATGTGAATGGTGCCCCCTGGAGTTGTACATTGTGGCAGCCTTGTTGGTGGAAGTGGGGCTAAGTTGGTTGACAAAGACCAATATGGGGGCTGATGTTCCCCTCCTGGACAATGCTTGAGCCCCAGTGATGAACAATCCAGAGAGCTGGTCAACAATTCTAACAGCAACTTGCTAATGGTTTGGAAAATTTGCTGCAGGGTAATTAAAAGGCAGTTACAAATAAGATCTCTGAGGGCAGGAGCCATGTCTTATTCACTTAGTATCCTGAGTCTTACAACATGTCTGGTACATGACAAATGTACAACATGTTTGGTATATGATAAATGTTCAGAAAATGTTTGTCGAATGTAGGAATGGATGGATATTGAATGAATGAAAGATGGAGACTCATCAGGGTCAGCTCCTGGGGAGAACTGGTTGTACTGATTGCAAAAAGCATGTTTAGCTCAGCAGATGTGACTGCACACTCTGCCCCGTGTCTCGTCTCCCGCGATTCGGGCTCTGACTAGCCTTTTGTGAAGTGCCATGAGCACGTCATGAGTTCAGCAAGGGTTTGTTCAAGGTGTATGACATGCCTCACCCGATGCTGGGTGCTGTGGGCCTGTGTAGTGGTGATGACAGTGGAGCCAGCAAACATATCACAGTCCCTGCCATCAACATCTTACAATCGAAATGGTTTAGTCAGAGGTAAGGCCATGGAGAAATGAAATAATGCTATAAGTGATATGAGCCCAACTGCCAATGAACAGCAAAGATGGTAAGCAGTGTAGAAGTTCAGGACAGAAAGCACAGATTGCTGCTCTGCCACTTGCTGTATGCTCATGAGACATTTACTTACCTATTCTGAGACTCCCTTTTCCAGTTTGTAAGACTGAGGTAATCGTGCCTACCATGCAAGGCCCTTAAACAGAAGATTAAAACAGATAATGTATTTAAAATGCATAGCACAGTGCCTGGCACATGGTAGAAATTTCCGGAATGTTGGTTCTTGTATAAGGACTCTCCAGTCAAATGTGACAGAATCCCAGATGATCCCAACTTAAGAAAGAAAAAAAAAAAAAAAAAAGGTGTGTGTGTGGTTGGTGTGTATATATAACCCCAAAGTGAAGCAGTATGAAGGCTTCTGGCATAGGGGGATCCAGGAGCTCAGTCAATATCACTAGGGTTCTGCCTGTATTTCCATTTCTCATACAAACTTTCTCTAGAGCTTTTCTAGGGTAAGAACAGCTGCCAGCACCCAGAGTCCAGCTTAGCCTCAGAAAGAAGAGCTCTCCTCCCAGAAATCAGGAATAGGAAAGTCTCAGGGAGCACTCTGATTGGTCCAGCACCACCCATGAAACCATCCCTTATCCAATGGCTGTGGCCAGAATAATGAAATGATCTGATTGGCGAGGCCTGAGTTGTTCCCACTCCTGAGCTTATGGGAGCGGGGAGGGGGTGGAGGGTGTTTAGCCCTATCCAAACCTTGTGGAATGACTTTCTGAGTGGAAAAGTGTTGCCTATTTCTTCTATATACTCGGAAGAAATACATAAAAGACACAGCTGCATGTGTCTAGAAAAAAAAATAGGAGAGCTAGTTATTTCTTGACAGAAGCAAAAACAAAGATTCCTATTAGATAAATATACAAACACCAGGTGTATGTGTGTAAATTCCCTTGGCCCCTGGACTCAGAAATGGTACCCAGCCAGCTGGGGTAAGCGAGCCAGGACTTTGCGACCCCTGGTGAGCAGGTACAAGCACTACAGTTATACTCCGCAAAGCAGAAGGCAGGAAAGCCAATTCGGGTGGGGTCACGAGAGGCTGTGGGAGACCAAAAGCTGAGCTTTGGTCTGTGGGGAGACGGTGGCATGGGAAGGGGAGGGAGACAGACAAGCCCCGTGTGGCTGACCTTCTGGCCCCTTCTGCAGGACCCAGGGACGGGCTCCAGAGTCAGCGTTGATCTAAGTGCCTATTCCAGACACGCACCGGGCAGGGACGTCCTGGCGCCCAGGGAGGAGCCGCTCGTGGTTACAGCAGCACAGAGGGTCCCCCGGCCATGACAGCGGGAGGGGGCCGGGCCAGGTGGCCGCACAGCCTCTGCACAGGCCAGTCAGCTGCTCTGAGACGCCGTGAAGCCTCCTTCCCTGATGTTCTGTTCCATTTTCTTGTCTTGAAAAAAAAAGAGTGGGGAAGGGAGGACTGTTTACTTAAACATCCTGTAACTGTGGCCTTGAGTAACCAAGCCTTTAATGTCAGAGAGCAGAAGAGAGAGAGAGAGAACGTGCAGCACATGCACATAACTTGCCGTCACTATCACCATTTTAAATCACTTATCATGCATTTGTTTGTCACTGCATATTTTTCTAAATTCAATTTAGGACAGGAGTTAGAGCAGGCCCCAGAGTCAAAACACACCGGTTCATATCCCAGCCCCCTCTGTAAAATGCAGTAGTTGTGAGAATTAGAATAAAGGATGTTAAAGTACTGAAGAGCACCTGGCATACAGAAACTACCCCACCTTCTTTGAGTTTATATCAACTCGAACGTAGAAACCCAGTTTGGAGTTTCTACTTGTAATGATATCTACTGAGCTGAAAGAGATGTTCTGTGATAGTCGGAATTCTAAGAGGGCCCCCGAGACTCCCACCCCCTCAACTCCCACACACAACCCTATACATCTTGTATAATCCCCTCCCTTTAAATGTGGGTGAGACTGAATATGATGGGATGCCACTCCGTGATTTGGTCATGTTACTTGGCAAAGGTGGAAGGATTTTGCAGCATCCTTGAGTTGGAGATAACCAAAATGGAGCTTATCCTGGGTGGGCCTGGCTTAATCAGGTGATCCCTTAAAAGAGGGACTAGGTCCTTCCTGAGGTTAGAGTCACACTCTCCTGCTGGCCTTGAAGAAGCAAAGCCATGTTGTGAACTGCCTGTGGAGAGGGGCAGCCTTTGAGAGCTGAGGGCCTCTATGCTACAACCACAAGGACCTGAATTCTGCCAACAACCTCATTGAACTTGAAAGAGGGTCTCAAGCCTCAGAAAAGAACACAACCAGGCTGACTCTGTGTTCAGCCTTGATCACAACCTTGTGAGACCCTGGGCAGAGGACCCAGCTAAGATGTGGGACTCCTGACCTACAGAAACTGTGAGAGAAATGTGTGCTGTTGGAAGTGACTAAGTCTGTGATATTGTTACACAGCAATAGAAAACTAATATATATTCTATGTCTGCTTAAAGCCTTGTTGAACTCTGTTTTAAAACGGGGTGTGCCTGAGTGTGTGTGTGTGTGTGTGTGAGAGAGAGAGAGAGAGAGGAAGAGAGAGAGAAATGATTTAAAACATGGCCCCAGGGACTTCCCTGGTGGCACAGTGGTTAAGAATCCACCTGCTAATGCAGGGAACACAGGTTCGGGCCCTGGTCCGGGAAGATCCCACATGCCGCAGTCCATGTGTAACAACTACTGAGCCTGCGCTCTAGAGCCTGCGAGTCACAACTACTGAGCCCACGTGCCACAACTACTGAAGCCTGCACGCCTAGAGCCCACGCTCTGCAACAAGAGGAGCCACCGCAATGAGAAGCCCGCGCACCGCAACGAAGAGTAGCCCCTGCTCACCGCAACTAGAGAAAGCCCGCACGCAGCAACGAAGACCCAACACAGCCAAAAATAATAAATAAATAAAATAAAAAACAAACAAAAACAAAAAAAATGGCCCCATTATTTTTGTTATAGTTGAAAATATGGAGTATCATTCATTCAACAAGTATTTACTGAGTACATACTTACTATATGCAAGGCCATGGACTAGGAACTTAAACAGGATCAGAAACCAAAACTGGAAACTTGTTACTGCTGCTTCCTAAGAGAATTAAAGGGAAAATGTTTAATGTTGAAACATGTCTTCTTAAACCACTGTTATCAGAGCTTATGCTTGTCACGGATGAGTTTCTTTGAGATAGTGAATGAATAATAATAGTAGTAGTGGTAGTAGTAATGATAATAATAGCTAATGTTATTAAGTGCCTAGTATGCCCCAAGCCTCTTCCCATTCAATCCTCATAACACTAGGAGGTAGGAAGTTGGTATCTTTATTATTTTTGTATCATAGAGGAAGATACGGAAGAATAGAAAGGTAAATGACTTGTCCAAGGACTCACACAGCTGGTAGAAAGCAAAGCCAGAACTAACCCAGCTCTGTCTGGCAAATTCCATGCAAACAAACTTTTGTTGATCACCTACTATCTTGTGGGATCTTAAATGGTTCTTTTTGCTTCTTATCCCCTTTGCCACCCACCTTCCAGAGGATGCCTCTCCCTTCCATTTTACTGAGACAGTGGTGGCTACCCATGTCTGTCTCCCCAGATTTCCTCCAGAAACAATAGAGAACAAGAAGAAAAATTAAAACTACACAAAAACCACACCCTCAGCATGGCTGAAAGACAGAGAATGCCTAAACTTCAAAATCACTGTAAGTCAAAAAAGAAGGGACTTCCCTAGTGGCGCAGTGGTTAAGAATCCACCTGCCAATGCAGGGGACATGGGTTTGCACCCTGGTCTGGGAAGATCCCACATGCCGCAGAACAACTAAGCCCGTGCGCCACAACTACTGAGCCTGCGCTCTAGAGCCCGCGAGCCACAACTACTGAGCCCACGTGCCGCAACTACTGAAGCTCGCACGCCTAGAGCCCGTGCTCCACAATAAGTGAAGCCACCGTGATGAGAAGCCCACACACCGCAATGAAGAGTAGCCCCTGCTCACCGCAACTAAAGAAAGCCCACGTGCAGCAACGAAGACCCAACACAGCCAAAAATAAATTTTTCAAAATAAATAAAAGAAAAGAAAAAAGAAAAAAAAATTCCCACTGAGTGAACTTTCACATTCCTGCTTCACCACCAGAGCTCCAGTGAGCTCAGGGAAACCTGCAGGCATGTATTCTGGGGGAGAAACAGGGCCAAAGGAAGGGAGAGGCGTCCTTTGGCAGCAGGCTGGTCCTGCAAGCCAAAAGAGAACTAAAAGATCAGAAGTATCTCATTATACATCCTTTACCAAATGGAAGACTCGGTATATTGTGACAGATTAAGATTTTTGCACTCTTCAGCGCTGGGATCCTCCCCTCCCCATTTCCTGTTCACTGCCCTTTTCCCCATCCCCACCATTAAGCAGCAACCAGGCTTCTCCCTTTTATTGGCTGGGAAGAGATAAGACTGCAAAATGGCAGTGTGGTGGGGGGCGGCGTTTACTAGCTTTTGATTCAGAAAGCTAGCTATCTGGATTTTTCTTTAGGGGATGGAATAGGCTCAAAATGTAAGCAAAGGATTTGGGAGAAAAACATTAGGAGTAAAGAGCAAGATTCTCTCCTCCCCCAACACCCTCCAACACTTCCCCCAATCCGACCCCAGCGACAAAAAAAATTTTTCCCCAGAGGTGGTAAGAGGGGAGATAGAGGAACTTGATGAGAGCTGAGGCATCACTGGGTCCCCGAGAAGGAGCCCTGCATCCTCTGCCTCGCTCCTATTTTAGGTCTCAGAAGTCCAGAGGGGTGTGTGGTCAGAGCACACCTGTGAGCATTTCCTAGGTAGAGCTGCCTCTGGACTGGAGAATGGTCACCTAGTGTCTCTACTCTTACGGTCTCAGCGCTTCCCTGTGCCCCCGTGTGGCTCAGGACAGTGATCTGTCTGGTGACTGCTGTACCCAGAAGTCACGACGAAGTTGCCCTGAGAGGGTGGAGAAGAGAGGAATGAGGGTCATTCGGGCAAACATGGTGTTAGAGGCTCACAAGGGAAATGTGTCCAGGAAAGGTAAGCAGTAGCCGAGGACTGGTCCAGCCCAGCGAGTGCCTGCATGGTCAGACAGCATCAGGGGCACGTTGGCCCCTGTGCATGCTTTGGTCCCATGGAAACCCTCAGAACTCAGACACGGGGGAGAACTGACTATAATGAAACCTCTCCCTCCTGGATGAATGGGCTTCAGGCTGAATTGCAGAGACCCAGTGGCCTTCCTGACCCCCGCCTCCTTTGTGAGAGAGGTAGAACATGGCTGTGGAGCATTGTTTGGGGAGCTGAGGCAGGAGGAGAAGGCGGTCGCACAGCTCGGGGATTCTCAGGCTGATGAGACATCATCAGACCTGTTGCAACGACAACAGACATGATTACAGCTCTTCCTCTTTGAGAAACAGCCAGTGGCCAACACCCCTTTCCCTTTTTGATTGCCCAGTAATGGGGTGTTACTGGAAACTGAGGAGGAGGGGTGCAGTACAAGGAGAAATGCAGAGGCGAGTGGAAGGAGGGTGAGGTAAAGAACTCTGGGAGTGGAGGCCTTCCATTTGACCAGCTGGTTCCCAGATGACCCTCCAACTCAGGTTCCCAAGTGGGCCGGGCTGCTCGCATCCCTGGTAAAGGGGACGCCAGGGCACAGCTGGTCCTTAGCGTCCCCTGGAACAGAGCGCCACACAGCTTGCTCCACATGGGGTACTGATCACATTTTAAGACCATGTGTTTGTTTGCCTGCCGGCCTTTCCCACCCCAGAGGATATCTTCCTTTTTACCTCTGTCTCTCCTTTTTCTATAGGACCCAGCTCCTCCAAGGTGGACAGGAAGTATTCGGTGAATAAATCACTTCACAAATGCCTAACAACCTCTGGGACGTGTCACCTTTGTTACCACCTCTGAACTCACCTAGTGAGCTACTTAATACAGCTACTACCAGGAGAAGTAAGAACACATGCCCCATAAAGAAACACAGCGGACAAGGAGGAAGTAACCCCAGTGCAACTGGAGAGTAATTGTCCCGCTCTGGGAGACCCCTGACTGCAGTTAGGTGTCATAACTTTGCTTTGGCTTCTCCCTCAAGGAATGTCAGCACCTGAAAGGAGGGTAATCTGGTGAGCCTGGCACCTTGCGACTCAAAGTGTGGTCCCTAGACTGGCAGCATCAGCATCACCTGGGGGCTTGTTGGAAATGCAGGACCTCAGGCCCCACCCAGACCTGCTGAACCAGAGTTTGCATTTAACAAGAATACGGATTCAGGTTTGAGTAGCGAGGCCTTTGATTACAGGGAAACGGTTAGGAGTGGGGAGACCAGTGAGGTGATGCAACTAATTACTATTCAACAGTCAAAAGAAAACCAAAAAGACCTAGAGCACAACATGTGACATCTGATGCCCAAACCAGCCTGCCTGATCCCAGCATGGCCATTGTGAGATTTTTAGCCTATGAACATTCACGACTGAACTAGAAGGCCAGTGGGATGTACCCACCTGCCACGTCCCCAGCAAAGCCTTGGCCACGACCCCTTGTCCATAGCGGGCCTGTCTTGACAACCCTAACCCCCCTCTAACCTCTCTCCTCAGGAAAAATTAACCATTTCCTACGTCATTCCCAGCACAAGGTAGGCACTCAATAATTGTGTGCCAAGTAATGAAAGCGTTGTGCTAACAGGCTTGGATCAATTAGTGATTGTAATTGAAGTTGAATGTAATTAATTATATAATTTTGGGCTGTTCAAGTTTACTTCTACTAAAATTACATCATGAGAAAGGGTCATGAGGAAGGATTACAGAGAGAAGGAGGGGAGGTAAGCTTCCACGTACAACAGTTGCCCATGGAGTCAGACCTCCTGCCGGCAGTAAAAGGTGCACATGGCTGTGTGTGTAACTAGGACATTCTGATCCTGAATCCCATTTGGACACAGAGTCCAGAATCAAGGACTTCACCTCAGTACCAGGGTTGTGCGGCAGTGGGCACTGTCAGCAGCAGACGCTGCTCAATTTGGGGATATTAATCCTTGCCTTGATCCATTTCCACTGCTGCATGTTTTCCATTATTCACGCCAAGTGAGTCTCCTCTCTGCTCACACTCAGAGGATGTCAGAGCTAAAAAGGCTCTTTGGGCATCTTTAGACCAGTGCTTTTTAGCCCAATCAGACCTCATGCACCCTTTTCACAACAAATATTTTGCAATGCCCCCGACCATCCTGAAACAAAATCCATAGAAACTATAATCTATGCATATATAAAATTAATCTACTTGCATAATTTTTAAAAGTCAGACTGATGCAGGGACACTGGCCATTCAAATGCGGGCTCTGCATTGTCATTGGTTATGTGTTTTCCCAGAAGAGTGACCAATAATTCCTAAAGAAACAAATCACCCCTCAACTCTCATGGTAATTGCATTCCTGTAAAATTCAACAGGTATTAATACCATGAAAAAAAAAAAGGTTTGCCTTTATATGTAAAACAGAGTTAGGCTGTAGATTCAGTTCAGTCGGGATTTTTACCACATGAATATCCTGGACACCACACTGGTCACAGGACAGTTCTTCGCTGGGTAAAGCTGCCCTGTCCATAGGAAGATGTCTAGCGTCCCTGACCCCACCCGATCGGTGCCAGTAGCAATCCCTAGTCATTATGATAACCAAAAATGTCCTCACACATTTCCAGAAAGTGCCTGGGGGTAGTAGCACCCCCATGGAGAACTGCTCATTTAGCCCAGTCTCCTTAATTTGCAGGTAAGAAATCAGAGGATTAGGGAGGAGAAGGCTTGCGCTAAGTGACCAGCTGGTCAGCACCCACCAGTCTCCGGACTCCCATTCCAGGATCCCTCCTAGCTCCACACTGCAGCTTCCAAGCTGAACACTGCGGGAGGAGATCAGGCTTTTGGCCGGAACTCCTTTGGTTCCCATGCTCAGATTCATTATTGCTCCCCACGTCCCAGAAGACCAAAGGCCCTCCAAAGGAAAACACAGCCATACAGTGTCGAATAAAGTCCTCTAAGCTAGGGAATGACATCTCAACGCCTTTCAATTAATCTGCCCAAATGAGCCCAAGATGATCTCCTCCCCACCATCAGAAAGCTAACTTGATCGTCTTCCTGTCTTCATTTATGAGAGCTCTGAAACTCTCCCAGGTAAAGAAAGGATCCTACTTTGAGGCCCAAAACAGCACTTAGGCATTACATGCCAACACTGCTCAATCAGGAGCAGTTGACGTGTGTGCTGTGTTAAGAAGGATTCTGGAGCCATATCCCAGTTCAACTTGAGAGGATACAATGACCAACTTGTGGAGTTTGCATGGGCCATGGTAGGGGCCAGGTGTTTGTTACGTCTGTCTTAGAACCCTAGACAAATCCAATCTATTTTCCTAGGTCAAAAGCTTTGCCAGTGACAGTCTATTTTATACCACTGGCTTCTCTGTTTAAAACTTGAGGCAAATGTCTCCTTCCTGATGGTTGACACAGTTCAATCATGAGATAAATTGCTTTGCTACAAATGGCAGTACTAGACTCTCATCTCAGAATCTCACTCATTCACTCAGGACCTGTGAGTTGAGCATACACTGTGCATCAGTCATTGGCAGTGGGGAGATGTAGCAAACCTGTCATATTGCATGTAAGAATCATCCTTTTCCAAGGTCTCTAATTCATAAAATAGTATGCACCACACCAAAACTCAGCATTAATACCCACCATTTTTCATCTGAAATTGATGTACCCTTGGTTAAGGGATCAAGATGACACAGTGCACAATATACCCTGAGAAAACCATAATTCAAAAAGAGCCATGTACCACAATGTCCACTGCAGCACTATTTCCAATAGGCAGGACATGGAAGCAACCTAAGTGTCCATCGACAGACGAATGGATAAAGAAGATGTGGCACATATATACAATGGAATATTACTCAGCCATAAAAAGAAAGGAAATTGAGTTATTTGTAGTGAGGTGGATGGACCTAGAGTCTGTCATACAGAGAGTGAAGTAAGTCAAAAAGAAAAACAAATACCGTATGCTAACACATACATATGGAATCTAAAAAAAAACAAAACCAAAAACAGGTTCTCATGAACCTAGGGGCAGTACAGGAATAAAGACACAGACATAGAGAATGGACATGAGGACACAGGGAGGGGGAAGGGTAAGCTGGGACAAAGTAAGAAAGTAACATTGGCATATATACACTACCAAATGTAAAACAGATAGCTAGTGGGAAGCAGCTGCATGGCACAGCGAGATCAGCTCGGTGCTTTGCGACCACCTAGAGGGGTGGGATAAGGAGGGTGGGAGGGAGACACAAGAGGGAGGGGATATGGGGATATATGTATACATATAGCTGATTCGCTTTGTTATACAGCAGAAACTAACACAACAGTGCAAGGCAGTTATACTCCAATAAAGGTGTTAAAAAAAAAAAAAAGATGACACAGTGCATAGCAATTGATTATAATTAATGCCTTGAATTTTTTTTCTTTTTTGCTAGGACAGCCATATTTTAAGGAAAGTGTCTTTAGAAAAAATGGCTAAATATTGGCTATCTTTAAAGTTAATGAAAATAGGTAATCTAGAAAAAGACATCCATAGGAATACAAAATAATCGTTCAAAGAGCTGCCTGTTTAATAAATACTTACTAGAAATACAAAATTAAGTCAAATACTCTTGCATGAATTGGTTTTAAAAATCTTTAAAGTGAAAAGAAAAAAAAGGCAAGAAATAACAGGAAGGTTAAATGGATCTGAAAACGTTCAAGAATACTTAATTTGAGGTAAACTGGGCTTTGGGAGAATGGATCCTTGGGCAAACAGGGTTTTGGCCATATGATCGTAGGCAAGTTGGCTTTAGGTGAACTGAACAAGAGCCAGTTTGGTGGGACATGTTGGGAGGCAAGGAGGCCAATGAGGGGATCAGATCTGAACCAGGATGCTGGTGGCAGAGTGGGAGAGGAGAGGACACAGGACATACAAGGTGATATAGTTTATGGGGCATTTCTATGAAGGTCAAGACCCTCACTTCAAAGGCTGACTCCTGGCTTTTGCACCTGGGTGACTGCTGGTGGCACCAACCACTAAGACAGTGAATGCAGGTCCCTTGGTAAAAATGAAATTTGGGGAAATACTGGCCCCGAAGAGAGATAGAGATGGTCTCATCAAATCTTGCTTCCAGGTAGAGCTGCTGACTGGCATCACTGGTCCCCAAGAGTTGTTTAAATCCTTTTCTCTCCTCCCAGGCCACAGACCTCCTGGCTCACCTCTGCCCCCACCGGCAGGAGGCTCTCTCCTTACCCAAAGCCAGCTGCTCTTGTGAAATATACCCCAGTTCCTTAAAGGCAGGCGTCATGTCTGATTCATCTTGTCTCTCCACTCCCCTCCGCAATAAAAGGGCATCGAAGGGATGCATGTGACATACGTGAATCGAGGCATGTGTAAGTGGCCACGTGATGACCAATGAAAGGCTTACTATGGCCTCCACTGTCCTGGTGTCAAAGAGCATGCAAGAGACAAAGAGGTGGCCCTTGCCCTCCAAGGACTGCACAGGGCACGCAGACAGTTGAGTGTGGATGGTGGGGGTAGACAGACGTATCAAGAGAACTGAGAGGGGGAGGAGAGGAGCTCAACAAGGGCAGTGATCTTGGGAAGTTCCCTACAGAAGGCAGGACTTGAGAGCTGTCATGAACATAGAAAGCAGAGGGCTTGGATATAAGGAAAAGCAGAGAGAGGCAGAGTGAACACCCAGAGCAAGACTGTGGAGATGGGGTGACCATGGAGATGTCTATAAAACATCAAGATCAGCCCGTTTAGGAATCTCACAACCCAGACAGGCAGAGAGAGGTGACAACCCTCACAGGAGCTCTCATCTCACGCAACGGGACGTGTGAAGTAGGAAAAGCAGAAGAAAGAGAAGCTTCCACATACACAGTCCAGTTCCCAAACTCATCCTTGGTTAAACATGGGCTCTGTGAACTGGCCAGCTCAGCTCTCAGGCCAATGCGGAGCACCTATGGCGGGAGGCTGTCTTTACCTTAAATGCTCCCAGGATGTCTCTTTCAAACTAACACTGTGATTAAAGAAAGAGCCCCTGCCGGCTCTCTGGTGGTAACCTGGGTGGACAGCAACTACGAGAATCAATAAGAGAAATTAAGCCTATTTCAGCCAAAAAGCCAGTTTCTAAATACCCTATGGATCATCAGAAAATAGCCATGGCTATTATAGAAAGCGTGTCCATACAACTGGTATCCAGCCAGAATGGCATGGCCTTTGTGTTGGTTTTGACCAGAAAATAACATATAAGGTAACCAATCAGCAGCCCTCACTCTCATCGTCTCAACAACAGCAGTAACAATAAGACCTTACTGTAATTTAACTCTGTTTTCTCTTGCTCAGCTCTCTGGAGAGTGTCCAGTCTATAATCGTCTCTTTATTTTCTATCCCTGTAGACATGTCTATTATTCTCCTCTAGACTTCCTCTGGGTTCTCCACATCTTCCAAACGTGGGTCCAGGGCCCTTAAAGATAATAGCTGCAATGATAAGGGCACTTTGGGTTAAAACGCAAATACCCAATTTAAAGTAACACACAAAAAAGGGAGAGGCAGATTTATTGGCTCATGTAATTGAAAAACCAAAGTGGATCTGGCCTGCAGGAATGGCTGGATCTAGGAGTTCAAAAGAGAGGCAGGCAAGATAGCCACTGGAACTTAGGAACCAGTGGAAAGACAGTCATCCTCCATAGTCTTCGCTGAAAGTCACAGGAATGCCCTTGGAGTCATGAGCCCATGCTGGAACCAATGTCTGTGGCCAGAGAGATGGCCATCTGTCTACCCCCATGGCGTGTGGGAGACACTGGATCAGCATACTCGCAGGAATGGGTGTCGCTACAGGAGAAGGGAGTTCTGTTAAAGCTGCAAGGGATGCTGGGTAGATAAACTGTTCACTTGCACGCTATGTCTCTGTTAGTTTCTTAGCGTTGCTCTTCCCTGTCGCTTTCACTGGCACTATCTATTCACATTCATCACAGTCCTCCAAGAAAGGGCAACCTATGGACAACCACTCCATTTCATAGCAGGGGAAGCAGAGGCTCAGAAACCGAAACAAGCCGCCCAGTGATAGCAGAATTAGGTTGATGGGCCTGACCTCCAGCTGTCCGGCTCAGTGTAGGCGACACTGGCCCCCGTCCAGAGAATACGGTCCAGGACAAAGGTAGGAAAAAGATCAGAGCCTACTCTGGACACATTGTGCCATCTGGTTATTATGGACATAAGCTGTTACAAGTCGGAACTCACTTCTAATCAGCTCATTATAACATCCTGAATGTTCCTGGTTTCTCTTCTAAATCCCATGTCAGTCATCATTTTTCCCTGCATACCTGAGGGGAGGCAGGAGGGAGAGGAAGAAGTGAAAAAGGCAGAACCTCCTCTATATTCCTACTTACCATGGGGCAAAATTGAATCTCTGCCAATGTCAACTTCCCTTATAAGGATTTCCCTAGAAGGGGATGCATTCCAGCATCCAAGGCTGCCCAAGAGGCTCGATGTGAGGCCTCGCTGGCTGGGTGAGCCCTGGGCCATACAGGCCGACCCTCTGCAGAGAAGTGACTACTCCTAGGGTGCCACTGCCCAGCTGCACTCACTGCAGGAAGCACAGAAGCCCACCACTTCAGGAACCCACTAGCTCCAGACTGAGGAGGCTGCAGGAAGGCAGGACGGGTCCAACCTCTAGCAGCCTCAGTGGAAGCAGTCCACTCCAGCAGAGGAAAATGGAAAGTCAGTGGTTGAGAGCAGAAGCTCTGGCTGCAGACTACCTTGGCTCAAAGCCTGGCTCCACCATTCACTGCTTGTGCACCTCTAGCAAGCAATCCAAGCCTCCGTGCCTCAGTTTACTCACCTGTACACAGAGGATAACAGTGGTCCCTAGACGTCATAGGGTTGTCATATGGCTGGGAGGAGTGATGGCCAGCATCCAGCAGAGGTTGCTACATGCCCAAATAAAACATCAAGTTGTACCTACCACCTCAAGATCACAAAATGGCTGCTAAAGTTCCAGACATCCAAAACCACACACCAGTCTCCCCTGCTGGAATGAAGAAGAAGGGGCAATACTCACAAACTATACCTATATCAATATCTTAAAAAAAAGCTTCCCAGAATCACTCCAAAAGATTCCTCTTCACCTGCCATGTCGTGTGCCACCACCAGCTGCGAGGGAAGCTGGGAAACCAAGACCTCACTTTTTCAGCCTCTCAAGTAGAGGGCAGGGTTAAGAAAAGGCGTTGGGAATACGGTCTGCCATGGGGGCTAATCATAAAAATAAGTGACATTTATTGAGCACTTGCTATGGTTTCTCTTCTCTAAGCATTTCTGCAAGCACATTGCATATATTATCTAACTTCCTCCTCCCAATGACCCCGTGAGGTAGGTACTATTATTCCCACTATTCAAATCTAGGAATTGGAGCCCAGAGAAGTTGTGTTGCTTGCCCAAGATCACACAGAACACTGAGGGCAACAGGATTTGAACTCAGGCCAACTGTAGAGAGAGCCCAGGCCCTTGGGCTGGAGGGCATCACCTCCATGATGGTAGCAGCCGCTGTCAACAGATGTTTACAGATACTCTGATGTGCACATGCTTACATTTGGCACAAAAAGGAGCAAGCACCCAGGGGCCAGGGAAGAAGACCCCCACCTACACACAGCCCTGGAAACTCCAAGAGGGCAAGGAATACCCAGAGCCCCTGACCTCTGTCCCCAATTCATCAACCTGGAAGGACTTCATGTCCCACCCAGTGTCACCTTGGAGGAAAGTCCTGCCGCTGGCACTCCACCCTCCAGCCTTCCCTCTGTTATTACTCACCTAGAGGAAGGATCACCAAGCACTTCCGTCATTCGTGGCTTGGGTAGTCAGTCGTGGGCTAGAAACAGTCGACCACCAGCCCAGCTGAGACTCTGACTTCCCCTCTGGGCACTGGGAGGTGGTTGCCAGTCCAGGCTGATGCAGAGGACACCAGGCCCACCACTCAGGAGTGACTGACCAGAGGGCTCCCTGCCAACCTCCCACTAGTGATTTCCATGTCTAGGGCTGCAAATACACCTGGAAAACAAAATTGCTAGTGCCAGGCCTATCTTTTGGTGGGAGGGGTTTGGTGCTCACGCTTCTGATGTTACATCCATTTGTCACTACATTTGTGTGTTTGCTTAAAGAGTTAACGTGTGGTAAATGTAAACATTAAAATTACACAGCCATTTGTATTACCTTGTGTTGGTATAGCTGCATTTTTTAGTTTCCTGGGAGCCTTTTAATTTGGAAATAGCCAGGCCTCCCTTAATCTCAAAGAGGCTCTGCCTAACGCCCACCTGTGGAGAAGTTCATAAGCTGCGTTTCCTCCTTCTCCAGAAGATACCTGGAAGGTGCATGAGCCTAACGCTGGGTCCCAACCCTGGCTGGGGAGCTTGAAAGAACAAAATCAGTACATCCCCACTGTCCATATGATGTTTCCCAGGGTGTGGCACGATAAGGGGGTGTTCCTCCTTTGTGGTATTCTTCCTCAAACCCCTAATCCCATTCTCATCACAAGAAAACATCAGACAAGCCAAACTTGAAAGACGATCTACAAGTACCTGGCCAGTGCCCTTCCAAAGTGTCAAGGTCATGAAAAACAAGGGACGTCTGAGGAGCTGTCCTAGAGCAGGGACTAAGGAGACGTGACAAGTGAATGTAAAGTACGTCCTAGACTGGATCCTGGGACGTGACGAGGACATTCGTGAGGAAATTGATGAAACTGGAATAGTTTAGTTGATGGTATTGTACTAATGTTAATTCTTAGTGTTAATAAAGGTTACCCTGGTTATGTAAGGTGTTAACATTGGGGAGAGCCAGGTGAACGCTATGTGGGTACCCTCTGGGTACTATCTTTACAACCTACTGTAAATCTAAAGTTATTTCAAAATAAAAAGTTTTAAAAAATTGTTTTAAGTGCCTGGCCCTCATTCAAACCAAGTTAATCAGAATCTTGGGCATTCAGAGCTCTCCCGGTGATCCCGATGTGCAGGTAGAGTTGAGACCTATAGGCCAGAGATTTCAACCGTGAGTGTGTACATCAGAATTCCCTGGAGGGCTTATTAAAACAGACTGGTGGGTCCCGCCCCCAGAGTTTCTGCTTCGGCAGATCTGGAGTGGGGTCTGAGGTCTGCATTTCTAACCAGCTCCTGGGTTACACTGATGCTGCCTGTCCCAGGGCCACACCTTGAGAACCACTGATCAGAGCCTTGCAGCTCAAAGCATCACCCTCAGACAAGCAGCATCAGCATCCCCTGGGAGCTGGTTAGAAATGCTGAACCTCAGGCCCCACGCACACCCACTGAGGCAGAGCCTGTGTTTTGACATTAGCCTAGGTTACTTGTGTATACAGGGAAGTTTGGAAAGCACTGCTCAGGAAGGAGGGATGAGGAAATGGGAGCTGAAATGTCAGGGGTCAGGGGGCTATGGACACCCATCGCTTCACCACTTCACCAGCCTGGACTTCCCTTTACACACGGGAAAGAGAAAAACAGGAAGAAACACCAGAGGCTCTTTGCTATTGCTAAGCCAAAGGCAGAACTGGGCAGAAAGAGCGCTTCCTGTCCCTTGCAGTGCTGGCCAGGGGCACGGTGACCTGGCTAGCAGAGGAGCTAGCCGATGACGGGGGCTGAGGCAGCCTCCAGAGAAGTCAAGTAAACCGGGCCAGGAGGCACTGGCTGTAGGGACATCACAGCCCAAGGTTTAATATTTACTCTGCTGAGGGTCCCTCGTCCTTCCTTTAGAAAAGGGGAGAGCAGCTTTGTAATAAGCTTTACTCCACAGGAGGGAAGGAGGGAGGGAGGGAGGAAGTAAAGGAGGTGAGAGCAGAGCCTTTCTGAACAAATGGGTTTTTACCAAAATATTTGCAGACTTAAGGCTTAGGAGACGGGGCCTCCCCAGTCCCCCTTGGCCAGTTACAAACAGCAGCGGCACCAGGTTGCCGGGCATTCAAGGCCTCTCACCCCCGATCCAGCCCAGCAAACATCACCCCCAGCAGGCCAGGCTGCCACGAACTCTCTGAGACCCTGTTCATCCTGTCTATTCAGATCTTGCCCAGTCACCAGTTCCCAGCTCAGACCCTAGCTCCGCCTGGCCACACCCTGAGACTGCTGAAGCCCCAGTGTCCCTCAGCAAGGCTCCCTCCCACCCTTCTCACATTTGCTTACACTGAGGGTAATTCCAAACCTCCAAAGCACGGCCCCTGAGGATTTGCGCCGCTTGGAGCCACACTCATTTTCTGAGATGTCATCAGAAGTCCCTACAGCCGTGAAGTGGTGGAGGACGGGAGCACCTAGCAGCCCATGATGCTGAGAGTGACCACCCCTGATCCCGGGAGTGGGCTCAGAACACGGCGGAAATTAACCTGACAATCAAACAAGGCAGTGTTCCTAGCAGAGGGAGACTGGCATGGGCAGCTTCTTTCTAAATACACAGGTTTCAACTCCCTTGAAAATAGTGAAGCATTCTGAGAGTCTAAACATTTGCGTGTTTATTGAGCACTTACTACAAACCAGGACATCCGCACTTCCTATGAGCTGGGTGCATACTCGAGAAGCCAAATGGGCCATCGAGTTGGAATTCTCCTCAGGTGGATGAGAAGAGGGAAGGGGAACTATAGCCATGTTGCCCAAATCAAAGAAGCCAACACCTAAATTGAATAAGGATCCAAGGGTTAAAAGAGAAGGTGCTCTTCGAAGTAAGCTGGTGCTGACTTCCTGACACATTGTAACTGCTGGGAGAAGAAAGCCGCAGGATTTTACTGGAAGCATCAAACCCAAATCAATGTATGGAAGTTCCACAGGACAGAAGGGAGCAGGGCAAAGGTCCCACGTATAAACTCACGTGCACACTCTCTGAGCTGCAGAACAGAGATCCTGAGATGGATCCACCAGAGGTGGCTCCACCTGGCAGAGCAGAAGGCACAGACCAGTGGTCAGTCGATAAAGACGCACCTCAGGCCAAGTACACAGGATGACGAGACACCAGAGTGATCGTCATACAGTGAAGACTCTGCCTGGTCTTTGTTGCTTTGTCTGCTCCTGGGAGACAACCTCTCAATCCTTGGACTTTCTTAGTGATGGGAGTATCTCTGTTATTCATGGTGTGCCCCCTGGATCACACCTGAGCTTATGCTAAATGACTCAGGATGGGGTTGATAGCAGCCCCACCTTCTCCAGGGAGGGAAGGGGGGCTGGAGATTGTGTTCAGTCATGTGGTCAATGATTCAATCAATGGTGTTTATATAATGAAACCCTGATAAAAACTCTGGACACTGAAGCTCAGCGAACACATTTCTGTGCCAAGAGGTTCCCTTCACAGCAAGAACCCAGACGCTCTGCATTTGGGATCCTCCCAGACCTCACCCTGTGTGTCTCTTCATTTGCCTGGTCACAAGTGTAGTGCTTTCCTGAGTTCTGTGAGTCATTCAGCAAATTATCAAATCTAAGGGGGTTGTGGGAACCCCCAAATTTGTAGTCAGTTGGTCAAAAGTGTAGATGGCCTAGGGACCCCCAAACCTGCAACTTGTGTCTGAAGTGAGGGCAGTCTTATGGGAACTATGTGCTTAAGGGAACAGAGTCTGTACTAGCTCCAGGTGGTCAGCATCAGAATTGCACTGCAGTATCACAGTGGTCCAGGTCCATCCTGTCTTAGGCCCGAGGAACATGCAGGACTCAGTCTGCACTTCCAGAACTTTTTGTCTCCTTCACCCATCCACTCCCCCACTTCCACTGAAAACCCAACTTTCTCTGAAGTCAGGGTGTTAGCGTCACAATTCAGGCACATATGACAGCTCACGGAGCAGGCGTAATCCATATCTCCAGCACTGTGGAATAAAAAGCAAAGCATGGTCCCTCATTCAGCAGCTGAGTGACTTCAAGCACATTACTAAACTTCTCTGAGCCTCTCAGTTCCCATCTCTGTGAGATGAGGCTAATGACCCCTCGCCCTCATAGAGCTGATGAGACAAGTCAATGATGTAACTTACTTACAAAGAACCTAGCATGTTCTCTCACATGTGGAAGGCACTCAGTAAACACTGACCCCTCCTATTTTCAAACTGCTCTGTACCCCAAGCTCTCCCAGCCTCTCAGCTCTCTCTGGATAACTGTTCTGGCAACATGCTGATGTCTTAGATCCCAAGGCAGCAGGAAGCCAACCATTAAACCCAAAGTGAAAAGCGAGTAACCATTACCTTGAACAAAAAGGACATTTATATTTACTTCAGTGGCTATAAAAGACACCATAAAATGTAATATGCAGCGTGTGTCCTCGTGACTCATAACAGATCTTGCAAATTATTCTCTCAGGTCTCTGGGTGCAACCAACTGGCCACTAAGAACAATTAATTCTTTCAGGAAATAAAGGGATTGCGTATCATCTCTGGTCAGTGAAAAATCTGCTTCTTGTGTTATGAATAAAGAGAACGGAAAATGAGACTTAAATTTAGGGTTTTTTCTGCCCTCATGGATGCCGTGAAGTAAGATTGGAGAGATTTAAACACAATTACTCTCTGTGAGCCTGGGTGCTCGGTGAGAGCTAGGATCTGCCATATCTGGGGTCTTGGGGATCTGGAGACCACACAAACACAGGAGTTTGCGGGTGTCCCCAAAACAGGACCAGATGATCGAGTGGGGGGGGGGGCAGGCTAGCAACAGGCAATAAGGTAGAAGCAGAGTCCAGACAGGCGACAAAGAGGTTTCAGAGTGGAAGCCCAGCCACGGTGACTGAACTTTAGACTTCAGTCTCCAGGACAGGGGGTATCAAATGATGAATCCAAGGGCTAAGTCAGAAGCCAACTGGTAGAACAAGGCAGGTGCCAGGTCACAGGGAATGAGGTGAGAAACCGGGGGAACCAAAGTCAGAGGTTTCAGCTGAGCCTCTGAGTTCCTGGCCTTGGGCTTCCTAACCACTCCAACCAAGGTCTCAGTCTTAGAAAGTGACAGAAACATACAAGAATCAGAAAGCTGCCGCACCGTGGAAGGGTGGAAGGATTTCAGGGCCAGGAAGCCGAGCAGATCACAATGTCGCACGGCATCCAGACCCACTCCTACCTGGTGGCCAAAGTGGATTCACTCCCAACCTGGAATAAAAATCCCACTGACCAAGCTCTGCTCTGCAACCCTGAAGGGGTTTTTATTGAATCACAGTACATGAAACACCAAAGGGGTCACCACGACAGCAGTGAACTCACAGCTGCCACAGAGGCTGGCTCGGGTGCCAAGCCCTCGCTAAGGTCGGCACCTCTGCGGAGCGACAGCGCAAGGAGAGGAAACTGTTCTCCAGTTCAGAGACCACGCCCCTTCCAGCAAAATCAAACTTCCTGCAAGTTAAATGTGCCCTCAGTGGGATTCATGGTCCATCCTGATAACAGGAAGGGTTAACGGAAGAGGGGGGGCATCCAACCCAATGGCCCACATGGGGAGCGGGAAAGCAGACTGCCATGCCTTCTCCCTGGATACAGAGAGAAAGGAACCTATCACACGGCACAGCTTGGGGGTCCCAAGACAAGGGCTCCAAAGGAGAGGAATTTCAGAGGTGGAGCACAACGGTGCCATGGACAGAGACCGTGGGGCTCCAGGCCACCAGCTGGCAGAAACGGGGCAAGTACGTAGAGACATGATGGAAGAGTGAGGAGTGAAAAGACCCCTTGGCCACCACAAGGTCACACCGGGAAGGGAACAGTAAGTCCACTCAGTGTGGAGCAGGCAACAGCCAGCAGAGCAGGGCCAACACCCAGCTGGCCAGCCTCAGCCCCTTCACACGTAGAACGAGTTCATGAAGGTTGATCTGCCATAAGTTGAAGGCCTCACTGAAAGAGATCTGGGTCCTTCTGAAGAATGAACGGGTATTCTTCTTCTTGTGCCTGCAGGAGGGGCAGGAAGGAAGGAGAGAACAGGAGATAAAGAGGTAAGAAGTACTCAGTATCATTAGAACAATGGAAGATGGTGGCTTTGCCAACTCACCAGCCCCCTGCCCCAGTGGACAACTCCTGGTTACGGATCAGACCACGGCCCAGTCAGGGACCTGAGGAACTCAGCTATTCCAAAGGCATCTTCCAGGCAAGTGGGGTCAGCAAAAGCAGTTGTTTCACAGCGTATCAAAGGTTTAGTGAACCCAGTGGGTAGCACGTTCCAATGTTTCCCTTTTTCCAAAAGTATAGTTAATATTTATCAAATCAGAATCCCCCAAACCCAAAGGTAAAAGCTTTCCCAAACTTTCTGAGGGTGAGAATCACTTGGAAACCTAATCAAGGTAGTCCTGGGAGGCTGGGGCCACTGTGGATTCAGCCCAGCTCAATCTCTTCTGCACCAACGAAAGGACATGATGAAAATTGGTGTTTATGATGACCACCTATTCCAGACTTGTTTCCTGTTGTTTTTGGCTGTGCCGTGTGGCTTGCGGGATCTTAGTTCCCCGACAAGGGATTGAACTTGGGCCCTGGCAGTGAAAGCACCCAGTCCTAACCACTGGACTGCTCCTGGAACTCCCGAGACTTTGTTTCCTGAACCTCAGAGGAAGAATAAATCATGTTCGGCCCTTTCTGTATACAGTCTATTTTCCTGTAATCTAACTCAGTATTTGATAGCAGGTACATGATGTATGTGGTCAACACTCCCTTCACCCATTTACCAGAATGACCCATTCACTGCCTAGAATGGATGGGCTCAGAGCTGACCACAGTCCAGGCCTGCCCTCTCAGGTGAGAACATTCAGCCAGAGCATAGGCCTTCCTGTGTATTTGCTACTGTCAGCTAGGAGAGCCTAGAACCCTCTTTCCTCCGTCACTACCCCCTGAGGAAGCGCCCTTCCCTTCCTCATCAACACCTCAAGGGTGCTGAGACATCTAAAAAGCCCTGAGATTCGAGACGGCCTGCTCTTGAGTCACAGCCACAGCTGCAGGGAGAAGAACACTGGCCTCACTGCCTGGCCAACGCTGGGGACACAGTCCCGGGACCAGCTGGAGATGGGATGCGAACCCGGGCATCCCGATCCCAAGTCCGGGGGACGCTTGGATGGGACTGAGATTTTCCGAAGACACTGTAAACTTTACTAAGGGTAAGAATCACCTGCAAAGCTTGCCCGGGAGGGTGAGGTCCTAGAATCCACAATTTTAACAAGTAGAGGTGGCTCTCTGGACCACCTCAAAACACAGCCCCGAGGCATCAGCCGGGTCACTGGAGCTGTGTTCTGCCCCTAACTTCCTGCAGGGAGAGCTGGAGACTGGGGAGCTCAGGCACGGCCCTGGGGACTGGTGGGAAAACTGGAGGTGTGCAGACCCCTGGGGCTGGCCGGGGAGCTAGAGGGGAGGAGCGGCCGGAGCCCACACTCACGCGGCCAGCGCCTTGACGCAGCAACGTGACATGTTGAGGAAGGAGGTGGCACTGGCGCGGGTGCCCAGGGCGGCCTCGATGCCCCGCAGCAGGTCGTTGGTCTTGAAGATGAGCAGCATCTGACGCGGCACGAGGTTGAGAAGGTGGCTGATCTGGGGGAGGTAGTTGGCCGCATTGTTGCGGATCTCTGAGTCCTGAAGCAGAGACAGGAGGACAAACAGACGGCTGGCATGGAAAGTGGGGCCCCGGGTGGCGGGCTGTCCAGGCAGCCTGTGACCTGAGGGGCTGCAAGGAAGCTCCGGGAGGGAGCGTCTAGCACAGCTGCCTCGGCAGCACTGGGAATCCTCCCCAGAGGGAAGCCTAGCCCAAGGGGCTTTGTAGCCGGCCAAACCTGGATGGGACATCTCACCCAACTTCTAGCCAAGCACCGAACGCGGTACAGGAGCAGAAGCACATCAGCAGGAACCAGGCCACGTTTCTGCTGCCTCTGCCATCCTAGCTCCCGGCAGCCAAGGTCACCCATACCCAGCCCCCAAGCCCCCAAGCCCATACTGACCGTGGCAGGAAGTCTACCTCCCCACCAACCATTTGATGAGTCCAGCCTCTCAGCCCGGGGTCCACCCTTGTGTTCTTTTCTAAGGCTTCTTCGCCGGCCACCAATTTCAGGCCAGGCCTGGAAGGAGCCTTGGAAGCTGGTGCTTCTGAGTCACGTCCCCCATCTCTCCAGCCAAGCCCAGGCTGGTGCAGTTGAGAGGTCTGAGCTGCTGACCCCAAACCCAAACCCAAAGTCCTGCCCCATACCCTGCCTGGCCCCGCACCCCACCAGACCTGCCCACCTGGCCACCGCTTATCACTGTCCTCCACGCTGGAGCTAGCGTCAGCCCGCCCACTGCCCGAGGTCCCCCTGTCCCCAGAGCAGGATTCAGGGCTGCCCTTGCCTCATCCTGGTGGGTAAGTTTGGGGTCTGGCTTCCCAGCCTTCCCCGTCCCTGAGCTCTGCATGGTTCTGGGCAGATAACTGCCTCTAGCCAGAGTCCTGAGTATAGAGTGAGGCTCTGATCCCTTCTCAGTCTCCAGAGAAACAGTGATGGTGACAACGATGCCAATAGTCCACTCGTACGGCGCATCACTAAGTAAGCCGGGCGCTCTGACAACGCTTGCATGTGTTAACTCACCTAATCGCACGGCAACCCGAGTAGGCAAGCGTATACCCCCATGTGAGAGGAGGAAACTGAGGCACTGAGAAGTTAAGTAACCTCCCCAAGGTCCGCAGCTAGTAAGAGGTGAGTCAGAAGTCAAACCCAGGCCGTGCAGCTCCCAAGCCCACACCCTCACCACTACACTGCCTGTCATCTCACAGAGGACTGTGTGACCCAATGTCCTCCCCAAAAAACTGGGCATGTTAACACCGTCTGTGCCCACCTCCCAGCGGAACCCAGAGGGTCATCAGGGATAAGGTACGGGGAGGCGCGTGGGGCCCGTCAAAGTCACCCCAAGGGGCCCAGCAATGCTGCCAAGCGCTTCACCCTGCCCAGCCGCTTTCTGCAGCAGGAGCAGAGCTCTCCGCTCTTTCAGCAGCACGCGTGCGTCGCTGACGACTGAGCCGCTGTGAAACCTGAAATGTCCCCCAGGCAGGAGCTATCAGACTGGAACATCTCAACACGAGCCAGACACCAAGAGGCTGTCTGCCTCCCCGCCACCTCCCCGCACAGCTGCAGGTCGCCCTGCTTGCGGGGGCTAAGGGCAGATCAAGGCCCCGCTCACCAGACCCCCTCTCAGCCCAAACGGAAGGCCCTGTGTCCACCCAGGCTACCCCGAGGGGCTCTTTCTCAGAGCAGCACAGCCGTCAAGCTTGGAACCTGCTGGATGTCTACCCGCTTGCAAAAACAAAACTCTAACTTAGTTAATAAAACCAGGTATCATTCACTGAGAACCTACTGTGTGCCACGCAATCTTGTCCGTCCCTGTGGCTTTAATACCAGCTATACGCTGAAGACTCCCAAACTTATACGTCTCGAGGCTGGATCTCTGAGCACCAGGCTTAACTGCCCACGACACCGCTATCTGGACGCTCAGGAGAACTACTGACCCTCCCACCCCAAACATGTCCTTCCCCAAGTCTTCCTAGGTCAGGAAGTGGTGCCCCTCCACCCCATAACTCACCTCAAAAAGCTACGATGCAACTCTGACTCTCCCCTTTTCCTCCCCTCACGTCCAAGCCGACAGAAAGGCCTCTCACTCTTATGTCCGGAATACACCTTGGCCCCACCTGCTTCTCTCCACCTCCATTAGCAGAGTCTGAGCCCCGTCATCTTTCCACCTGTTCATCTTGCCCCGCTCCAGAGAAATACTTAACATAGCAAGTCTGAGCACATGCTTCTCCTGCTCAAAACCTGTCAAAGCCTCTGCTTTGTCCTGAGAATGAATCTGAAATTCTCCCTGTGTGATGCTCTCCCAGCTCAGGCCTCCAGACGCTTCTCAGTCCACCATCCTCCTCACACAGTCCAGACCACGCAACCCTGCCCCCTTAATGCATCACGTGCCCTCTGCCTGGAGTGCTTTCTCCAAGCTCTTCCCGTGGCTGGTGCCTTTCTTGTCCTTCGGGCCTCAGCTTACATGTCAACTCCCCAGCGAGATCTCCTCTACAGCATCCCCCCATCACCCATCATCACGGCACCCTGCTTATTTCCCACCCGCCCCTCCCCCCAGCACCTCTAACCTGCACTTATTCCATTTACCTGTTTATTCACTTGTTTACTGTCTGTCTTCCTCTACAAGTGCAAATTACATGGAAGTCCTGTCTGTCTGTTCGTCACTGGATCCACAGTCCAGGGTCCAGCAAAAACAAATGTTTATTCAGTGAACAAATTTCAGAAACTATGAGGAGGCATTTTACATGCGTTATCAATAAAGCAGAAACTATCATCCCTATCCAACAAACGAAGGAGATTGTTTTTCTTCTTCTGAGATGATGAGCTGAAAGCTGTGTAAGCCTGGGGTGACTGGTGGTCACCTTTGCCACCAAGTTTGCTGGGGAACGACGTCAACTTGGAGGAAAGCAGAGCCAAGAGATGGCAAGAGGCGGTTGGTGGTTTGCTGACATCGCTGCAGACTCTGGACCCAGCCATTCCTAAAGCCCCCACCACAAGGCAGCTCGCAAGGGAGGACTCTGAGGCTCAGAGAGGTGACCAGAACCATCCAAGGTCATGCCACCAGAAGCAGGCGCTGGAACCAGAGCCCAGGTCTTTCGACTGCACAAGCAGGACCCTGTCCCTTGTGGTGAGCGTAAGCCCCTCCCCACATGGACACGGGCAAGTCTGCAAAGGTCTGCAAACTGACAGACCGGGAAGACAGAAGGCAATTCCTTGAGGGATTAAGGAGCCCGGGAGGGAGCTCACCCTGAGCCAGGAAGAATGAGCTACCCGCTAAGCCCCTACTGGAGGGGCAGAGGTGAGTACAAGTACAGGGAGAAGGTGTTCCTAGGATCGGTCTCAGCCCAGACTCCCGATCCAATGGAGGAATGAGCTACAAACAAAAAGACCAAAAGAGCTGTTTCACTAAAAACTCCATAGGAATGAAGGGACAAGCAGCCCTTGAGTACGGCATGAGGAGTGAAGCCCCCTGCCCAGGAGGGTGCCCTAGAGCAACCCCACGATGGGAGATGGTGCCCAGCAGGAGACAGCGGGTGGCGCCAGACTTATTCACCACACAGTCCCTGGGGATTCCCAGAAGTCCTGGGGGAGAACTTGGTGGAAGCCTGAAATCTTATGACAGCAGGTTGTAGTGAAAGTCACAGAGCCTGGATTATACGGTTAACGTGACCTACTTATATTCCAGGTTGATAAGGCCAGGAGGGACACAGTGGGACAGCGTCCCCTTTCCCTCCGTCCATCCAGGCACACTCTTTCTCCCTCCCTCCCTCCTCCTCAACCAGTACCTCTCTAATTCTGCCCCTACTCCATCCCCACAGCACCACCAGTATAGAACCCCAGACCCTGGGTTGGCAGGGCTCCAAACGCCACGCCTGGCCCTGCCCCTTGCATCCGGGACAGGGCAGGACCGGGGCGGGGGGGGGGGGCACCCACCTCAGTGGCGGTGACTGGAGTTTGGCCAATGCCCCTGTTGACTGAGTCCCACGACCGGGCTGTCAGCATGCAGGTGAACAAGGGGTAGAGGTCCCCGGCTCCCAGGCGCTGGCTGTACTTCTTCACATTCTTCATGTCGGTCCAGATCAGCGACTGCCAGAGGTGGCAGTAATCCAGGCGGAACTCTTCCGTGAGCACCTACAGCGGGGGCAGCATGGCAGGACCTGGGCCCCCTCTCCCCATGAAAGACCTAGTCCCTGGCTGGTGTGACCACTGCAAAGGGGAGTGGAGGGAAACCATGGTTCCTGCACAACGTCTGCTCCTCTCCCACAGTCAGCCATCCTTGAAGGTCCAGGTAACAAAGCCACTATTTGGCCAGCCTTGGTCCTGAGTGCCAGAGGCTACCAACAGCCCACCAAAATCTATATTCCCCTCTTCTTCCCAAGTCTAAGGTCCCTGCCTTCCTCCTAGTTAGTTGTAGCCCTCTGCCTGAGCTCTGACCAATGGAATGTGGCAGAAGCTCCACTTGCAGGCCTGGTCCATGAAAACTTCCCCATGCATGCTCCTCTGAGCCCTTACCCCTGCTGCTGGTGGGCGGCGAGACCCCCAAGGAGACCTGGGAGCAACAGCCTCGGTCAGCCCCTGCTTGCAGGCTCCTCCACGCACCCCAGACTGGTGTGTGAGCAGGCAATTAGTCATCTGTTGTGTCTGGGCCATCATTCACTTGGGGGCTGTGTCTAACTTAAACTAACATGCCCAACACCCCTGAGTCTTTCAAAGGAAGCCCAGATTTGGGGATGTGGGATCAGGGCTCTGAGGCGAGAAGCAGGAGACCACCAGGGAAACCTCCCCAGGACCACCTGCCTCATGGAATCAAGCCAGGACCTGGGTCCTGGGATTGACACTGAACTTGTCAGCTTCTAGGCAGGAACACGTGGCTCACTGGAACCAGCTCTGTGTCCCAAGTTCCAGAGGACAGTCAGGACCATCCAACCCCTATCAGCTCCCTGCGCCCTTTCCCATGACATATGACCTCCTCACTGGGGCTGAGTTACCCTTCCCCCTGAAGTCTAGCTCTTGTAAGGGCAGCTCACCTCCCAGGGTCTGGCTGGCCTGGGCTTCCCTGGGAAAAAGGTTTTTTTTGCAGCTGAGAAAGCCCATTCACACATCCAGGCACAATCTCATCTACCCCTCACAGCTGCCTCTAAAGGAGGTGTTATCACTCACTCTATTAGGAGGAAGCTGAGGCTCGGAGAGCTTGGAGCGCTCCTCTGACCTTGACTTCCACAAGATAACAGCTCTAGGGGTAGGGCTGGGCCCTCTTCAGCTACCTTGCTATCTGCTTCCCATTTCTGTGGCCAGTAGGGGAGTTCAGCAGGCTCTGAGCCCAAGCAGGACCAGACCCTGGGGGGAAAGGGCGCTCCTACCTGGTAAAGCCCATGGTCCAACAGGACGATCTCCACCTTTCCTGTGCCCGGGCACTTCCGCACCAGCACATTGCCTGGGTGAGGGTCACAGTGCACGAAGCCGTTGACAAAGATCATCTCACTGTACATCTTGCCCAGGTGGCGCGAGATCTGAAAGAGAAGGGAGGTGGGTGGGAGTTGCACCTCATTATCACGTGCCTCAGAGATTTCTCCTCTGGCCCCTCAATCTGGCCACTCTCAAGAGGAAGGCCTGAGCAGTCACGGTGGAAGGGATGGCTTGAGATTGCACCGTTCCTGATAGAAGCTCAACGCTCATCCAGCTTTTCCTAACTTCAGCTGCACGTGAGATTCAGCTGGAACTCAGAAATGTTAGGGGTGGTACCCAGGCACCAGTATTATCTTTAAGTGCCCCAGGTGATTTTAATGGATGGCAAGGTAGGAGAACCACTGCTTCTAGGTTTTCTGAAGACTGTAACACCCACCTCCCACACCTGCCCCTCCAATCTTCCCTGGTTTTTCTCTTCTCTCAGTCCCTCTTCCTTGTTTCCCCCAAAGCTGAATATGGGTTGGAAAGCTGGGTGGGGCTAGGGATCACTCTACCTGCCCCTTCTCCAAAGAACAAGGTCAGGGGGCTGAGGACCAGGGATAGATGACCCCCATCACCCTCTGGGGCTGCCTCAGCAGCTCCAGGCCAGTCCCAGGAGTACCCAGAATCACAAGCCCTTCTCCCCTCTCCCTTCAGCCCCTTTCCCTACTCCCCTCCCTGCCACAGCCCAATGCTAATCTGATTTATGATGTCTGCACAGAAGAAATGACACTGGAGAGGCCATTTAAATCATCCTGTCACTGCTGCTCTCCCTGCCGAGGCAGCCTCCTTATCTCTACTCCCTTTTCATTAAAGCTAAAAGCCTCTTCCCAGCTAGGGAACAGCTGCTGAACAGAGCCAGACCCGGACCCACAGATGGTCTGCTGATGGGTTTCCACAGGACAAAGAGATGCTTAACCCAGGAAGCTGGCGCCCTAGGACACACACTGCCCTTGGCATCCCTCAGCCTCGGCTGGCCCGCATGTTCACTAACAAACATATCCCAGCTAGAGGAGAGGAGCTGGGGCCCGTGGGATGGGGAACATAGGATTAGGGTCTTAAGATAAAGACTCCTTTCCTTGGTTTACAAAGTCCTGTACAACCAGGCCCAGCCTCCCTCCCTGGTCTCATTTTGTACCACACTGACATTCCAGCCATATTTGCTCTCTTCCTCTTCTCTAATAATCTCTGTGCCTTCCTACCTCAGGGCCTTTGCACATGATATTCCAGGAACATTGCTTCATCTCCCCTTCAGCTGTTTCACTCCTCTCTTCCTTCCCACCCCACTGAGCATCACCTCCCTGGGGAAGCCTTCCCTGACCTCCTAGACTAAATGATGTTCTCCTGCCATACACCCTCACACTTTTCTACCGCTAGCACACTCCTTGTATTATTATTTGATTAACAACCATCTAGCCCACTATCATAAGCTCCTATATGATGGCAGGAACTGGCTCTATTTTGTTAAACAGCTTCATCGAGGTCTAAGTTACATATCATAGACTGGTTCTATTATTCATCCCCTTGCCTGTAACAGGCCAAACATGCGAGTATAGGACTCTGCCTTCAACATGAATGAGACCCTCGTCTCTCCACGTTTTTCTGGGATGCTGAGGTTCCGGCCTCTGATGCTTATCCGAACCCCATTAGTCTCCTCTGAATCCCAATCAGTGATAATTGGCCTCCAATTAAATCATCAAGAATAAGTCTACTTTAGTAACAGTAGTTGTCATCCTTATTAAAAGCCCTAAAAGTAAGTACAATCATGATCCCCATTTTGCAGATTAGGAACTGAGACTCGTCGAGGTTTAATGTACCCAGAGCTACCTGGCTGGAAAGAGGTGGAGACAGAATTCAAACCAGGTGTGACCCACAGCCTTCCAGTAACCACTATTCCATACTGGCTCCCGCCGACTTCTGCACTTCTCAATTGAACTTTGTGACCTTAAAGAAGTTAGTCATACTCTCAACTTCAGCAAAATGGAAATAATAATAGTGCCACTCTCACGGGCTACTGTCAGGTAAGTGAGAGTATCATGGTGCTCGGGACCTAGTAACCTCTCCTAGGTGCCCCTGATTCCTCAGAACACTCCTGGGAGGGCGGCAGACTAGGTTTCATTGTACCTTTCTAAGAAATGATGAAATCAGGGTTAAAGAGGCCATCTAAAGTCTTGACACTTAGACTGTCGCCCTGTGCCCTGCTACCACACGCTCCTGACATTTTTCTTGGAGGAAAGCAATGCCCAGTACTCAGTGTCTGTGGGCATCAGGAACAGAACTTTACCCCGTGTCAAGTTCCCAGACTCAGGCTGAGATGTTGGGTGCCCCAGGGCCACCATTTTCTGTTTCCTGGGAGAGGGGGTCCTGGATGAGCCAGCAGGTCCCCACCTCGGGACCACTGAGAACCCCTTCTGTTAGGCTCTTTGGAGCTCTCCGGAGACGAGCTCTAAAAGGCCATATTTGCCAAACCAATTGCATTTATTAAGTAATAATTCATTTTTATTTGTCAAGGATGCCTGTAAGGTCCGATCAGGGCTCCTGATCAGCCCAAGATAAGCAGGGCAGCCAGACAGAGCTGACAGAATTCCAGCCAAAAGCAGAGACATGACATTTCATTTAGTCTGGGCAGACCTGTCATGGGGAGATGTATGACCTCCCTTAAGCTTCCTGAAATATTGCTAGTCGCTGCGGGCCCCCTGCTACTACACTGAAAGGTGGCCCCTAGGGCTCTGGGGACTCAGGCTGGGGGAGCCTTGGCCCATGAGGAGCGAGCGGCTGCTATAGGAGGAGGAGAAGAGGCTGCCAAGTGCGGCCCATATACACGCAGGCAAAGCCACCAGAACAGTCCTCCCCTTCCAGCGGCCCCTACCTGGTTGTCTTTCCTTTTACGGGCTGTTCCTGATGTTCATTTTAACCAGATCTCACCGGGATAGGCAGGTGTGGAAGGCAGAAACAGGAGGGAGGACCAGCCTGTGTCACTGGCTTCACTCTGGGGCCCTGTTGGCACTGCCGCTGTGGGCATGGGTTACCTGGGGGACAAATCACCTCCCTTCTCAATCTGAGTCTAAGTTCCCTGAGCTGTTCGGTGAGCCTAGCCCCATCTGCTCTATTTCCTCACAGAGCTACCTCGAGATTCAAGGTCAAAATGTGCTTGCTTGTGGGAAGGCACTTTATCCGCTACACTCTACGACACAAACGTGCTTGTTTGTTTTCTGTCATGTGGTAGCTTACTTTAAACCTGGCAAAAAAATATACCCACTGTCACCATCAAAGTGTAATTTTCGAAAAGTTAAAAACTTGACTTTCACACAAATATAGAATGAACACATGTCAAACATTGTGTAACTCATCAGTAAAGGAGCAAGTAAGAAAGCAGGTCTGGTTCAAAGAGAATTTTGAGGGACTGGGTATTTATGGGTATTTAAACAGGAATAAGAGACTAAGATTCCGGGAGTAGATACAAAACTGGTTATTGGCCTACTGGGCAATAAGGAAATCATAACCTTCCGGGTTATCTTTTCTAGTAGGGAGAAATTATTTGCATCTCTGCTGGATAAGATCCACAGGTTGACATACGACTTCAGTCTGAGCCCTTAATTAATTGTCAATAGCAAAGTCAAACAAAAGTACATTCCCTTAGATATGAAAAAATCCTCAGGTAGGCTGCTTGAACAATGCCCAAGAGTGACTTTGAAAGGACAAACCGCACACTCCTTTTTCTGAATGTTAGGTAATTTTTCTTAACATCTATCAGAGTTGCAGTAAATAGTCTCTGAGAACCAATATGCCCAGAGAAAGGCAGCCAGCCCCCTCCTACTCACAGAGGCACTGAGAGTCCCAGGAGAAACCTAAGGCCAACACTGGGCACAAAGCCCTCTCTCCACCCCTTCCATATACTTAGCTATGGCTCCTCCCCAAGAACAGACAATTGTAAATAAGGCTGCAATGAATATGGGAGTTCAGGTATCCTTTTAATATTGATTTCGTTTCCTTCAGACATATACCCAGAAGTGGAAATGCTGGATCATATGGTAGGTCTATTTTCAGTGGGTTTTTTGGGGGGTTTTTTGTCTTTTTTTTTGGTGGTACGCGGGCCTCTCACTGCTGTGGCCTCTCCCGTTGTGGAGCACAGGCTCCGGACGCGCAGGCTCACGGGCCCAGCCGCTCCGCGGCATGTGGGATCTTCCCGGACCGCGGCACGAACCCGTGTCCCCTGCATCGGCAGGCAGACTCTCAACCACCGCGCCACCAGGGAAGCCCTATTTTCAGTGTTTTAAGGAACCTCCATACTGTTCTCCATGGTGGCTGTATCAATTTACATTCCCACCAACAGTGCACGGGGGCTTCCTTTTCTCCACACCCTCACCAACACTGTTATCTCTTGTCCTCTTGATGACAGCCATTCTAACAGGTGTGAGGTGATCTCTCATTGTGGTTTTTATTTGTATTTCCCTGACAATTAGTGATTTTGAGCACCTTTTCATGTGCCCCTTGGACATCTGTATACCTTCTTTGGAGAAATGTCGGTTCAGTTCCTCTAAGGCTGCCCCTTTCCCTGTTAACGGCAGCATCTGCATAAAGAAAGGAATCCCACCTTTTTAGAATGGTAACAGCTAACGCTCTGTGCCATGCACCATTCCAGGTACGTTACATGGACTCACAGCCACCTCTGCAGTAGATAGGTGAGGGAAGCGAGATACAAAAAGAGGAGGAAGCTTGGTCACCTGGCCAGCAGTTAGTGAAACCAGGATCCAAACCCAGGTGGCCTGGCTCCAGGGAACAAGCTCTCAATCACCAGCCTCTCCTGCCTCTCCACTCACTGGGAAGCTCCTTCCCGGTGGCAGGAGCTGCACCAAAAACCTCTACAGGTCCCCACGGCAACCAAGAAAGCATTCCGTGTGGAGAAAAGAGTCGCAGTGGGAAATCCAGAGCTGTTTGTCTAACCAAAAATACACTGTTAACTAAAGCCATACTACAGCTCTTTTCAGAAAAAAAAAAAAAAAATCAGTGACAAGTCTTTAATTGTCCCATGTAAAATGAATGTACCGCTCACGTAAGTGATTTC